TTATGCAATCACTTGTAGAAAGTATTACTAAATGAGTAAACTTTCGGCAGAATTCTGACATTTTGTTCGTTGTCAAACTTATACATCGACGTTTTTGTTCTTTTAAAGATTTAAGTTTCATCAGTCTTTTAATTGTGGCTATAAGCCAATCATTTATGTACTAAACTTATTCTCATTAACTTGAAATTATTATTAGAAATCGAACAGCAATCGTTCCGAAGCAGTCATTGCCTATTTCTTCCTCTCTTCCTTCTCATTATTTAAACTTAAGTGCAATGGTCTATTAATGGCTCCATTCCATTTATTATCTACTTTTCGTCTTCCGTTCTTTATGTTTTATTTTCTTATTCATTTGTATTCGATTTTACTTTTCATTTTTTTTTTACCTCTTTTTAGGATCACAGCAAACTTTAATCAGAAAAGTAAAGGAGTGATCATTAGCGATCACTCAAAAATATTACGGCAACTTTAACGCCATCAATAACTTCTCGAAAATTCTTTTGTCCTATTTCTCGAAAATCCTTTTGTCCTACTTCTCGAAAATTCCCTTGTTCTACTTATTGTGAGATCACTCACAGATGTTATTACTGCTTTTGCATGCTTCGGTGTTCACTAACTTATAAACCGACATTTTTATCTTTTACATATTAAACTTGAAGTTTTACTGGTTTTTTAATCGACTTAAATTATTCATGTAATAAACATATTCCCATATAATTAAAATTATTATTAAAGTTTCGATCCGAAACATTCATTGTCTTTTTCTTTCCCTCTTCCTTATTATTTATATCTAAGTGAAATGGCAAAACAGTCTATGGGATCCGTTCCATTTATTACCTACTTTTCGTTCTTCGTTTCTTATGGCTTACTTTCTTATTTTATTTAGGTTAATTATAGCTGTCCTTTGTTTACAATTTTGTTTTTCATCTTTTTTTTTTTTTTTGTTGTTTTTTGCAGTAGCACAAAGAGTTTTTTCTACAGCAGGTTTGTTTTTAACTTATGCTCAGCATATGTTTGAAGTTTTTTTATCCTAATTTCTTTGAAGATCTTGTTTTTGAAAAATTTACAAAAAAATTTTTTAAATTTACTTTCTTTTTTGTAATAGATAACTCGACTTTTTTCCTATTTTTCTGTTAAATTAGCGTTTTTTTTCCTTTCCTTTTTTGTGCAATGTCTTTATTTAGCGATTCACCCTTTCTCTTTTTTTTATTTTCTAATTTCATTTCGACTAATTTCAGTTTTTATATGTTTTTCTTGAAAAAAAAAAAAAAAAAATTTCGTACATTTTGCTTGCATTTGTCTATTATATTTATCATTTTACGAAAACTTCGCTTATTTTATGCATCATGTTCATTAAATCTTAATTCTCGAAAGTTTTCCCTAAATATTATTTCTTTTCATTTTTTCTTCCCTTTTTTTTTAAATTTTTTAAAGCTTGTTTTTTTGCTAACGTTCAGTTTTTTCTCACAGCCTGCACTTTTTTACTGCATTAATTGCATTTTTTTTTTTTTAATTCTGTCACCAATCTCATTCATTGAGTGCATTTTTGGTATCATTTAATACTAAAAATATTGGTAGTTAGACATTAAAAACTAATGCAAAACCGTTTAGCAAGGATGCTTATAAGACATTATACACTTTTCTAATATTGAATGATTCAAATCTAATGAATCTGAATGCAAATAGCAGCGAGTGATGAAAACAAAGAAAGCCAAAATTGAAAACAAAAAAACATTAAAGCATGAAAACATATCAACAAACATAAAATAGATAAAAAAAAATTTTGAACATAAAATTGATAAAAAAAAAATTTCCATCAATTCAATAAAAGCCAGAAATACATGGAATCAGACTGACAATGAAATGAACGACTTTTAGAATATTTTAAAATAAAAAGAAAAATGATTGTAATAAATCGCAAACAATCAATTCAAATTACCTTAACGAAATTATTTCATTTATATGTTTTCTATTTTGATAATTCAAGTGGACAATATGATAATTTAATTAATATGCAACTAATTTTTTCTATTCAAAATTCCATATGCTTATATGCAATGATTTTTCACTGTTCTCAGAAAGAAAAGAGTTATCAGTGATATTTGAAACATATTAAGAGACGTTACGCTTTAAATTAGGTTTACGTGAAATATCTTTACCTGGTAACTTGTTTGGTAAGAATTTGGATAGGTTTTACTACATTAGTATACAAGAATTTACGAGCACGTTCGCTGGTTAAGAAAAAAGTTGTTGGCAATGCACAACGATACAAGGTGATATAGAAGCATTGAAAAATGTTCATTGCAATTAAGCTTTCTTGACCGAAAATTTTTGCCACTGGTAGGACGCTGAATATTAGAATTCCAAATATTAATCCGCCAGAAGTTAATCCTATTTGAATTAACATTGATCGTTCGTACTTGACAGTTCTTAATGTATATGTTTTAGGTCCTGTTTTAACCACAAATGTTTCTAAAATTTCATGTTTAATTTGAAATGAATTATGGCGCAAGAGAGAAAAGTAAATTTTGGATATTTTTTGAAATAACCAAAAATTTCCAATATAATATGAAAGTACAAAATCTATTTTTATAATAAAAGAAAAAAAGACAATCATTAGTATCACTAACTTTGTGTTTCATTACTAACTGATACAAAACGACGGCGTATATTGCAAATGATTGCTGTGTACATTACAACCATTGCAATGGATAGAGAGAACAACAAAATAACAAGAAGACTGAAAACTGATCAGACCTAATTAATGGATTTTCATTAATCTAAGACAGTATTATTTTTCTGATTCATCGTTACAGTAACAGAAAAAGATTAATTTGAGGCAGTATAAGTTTTAATATGTCGTAAAATTGTAATTGAATTCTTAAATCTAACCGATTAAAAAGTTTTCCGCCAGAATGTTTTGTGTAATCTTTTGAGCAGTGCAAGGTAGAAACTTGGAAATGTCTTGTATAGAAATAAAAATCACCAAATGAAGTTGCTAAAAATTGAAACTCAATAACAAGTAGAAATTTATAATTTATTTATAACTCTCCAGTAGTAAAATAGGAGCAGAATGCTGAATAAAATCTCATTCCAATAATTAACAACATGGTGACAAAGATGGAAATCGCCAAAATTGAACAATCATTGCTTTTCATAAATTGCTTATGAATGAAATAATTATTTAAAACATTGCGCAAAATTTAATATATCATACCAAAAGCGATCAACCATATGAAAAGGAGCAAAAAATACAGCTTTGGTGACTGGAAAAATATGTTGTATCTTGGCAAAATTACGACTATGAAACGATTCAACGTTAGCAGAAATGAGAAATATATCATGGAGATAATTGAATATGTACGAACATTGCAGAATGCGTTATTCATCTGCGACATTTTGTAAGCTAAGATGCACAACAAAAGTTTATTAAAATAAATTGAAAATGTCTGAGTGTGATTCAAAATTCTCAAATATTTTCCAGTCATATGACATAGTTTTATTCATCAATAATAAGCTAATCTTTCATTTTCTTAAATAAAAAAAAAAAAAAAAAAAAAAAAAAAAACATAATTAATTATAAAAATAAAATAACTTACCATATTTTTTACTCAGTAATATTCCAGGCAACAGGATAATCACATATGGAATAAAGCTTACTAATACTGAAATAATAATCTGAGATACGATAAGAGTGAATGGACGACTGTAAAGATTGTTCCGACTGTAGCATACGGTAATCATTAGAAAATTGCTAATAATACCGTATAGCACGAGAAAAGAAAATACCGCAACTACTGTATATTTAATTATTATATGCTGCTCGTCTCTTATGTCAAATACATTTGTCGCATTTCCTTCATGGCAGTTTAGAGGTAATATTAGAAATAGTGCAACGATACAGTAATAACGAACAATCATATTATCAGTAGATAATCTTTCTCTGTTGTTCTGAATTTGGAAATTACTAAAAAGAAATTTAACTTTAGTTAATATTTTTAATATTCAAAATGCAAACATTTTGAATTATCATGAATTCTAACATTTCAAATTAAGAAATGAAATTACTTAATTAAAAAGGAAGAAAGAAACATAATTAAAAGCAAGTGGTTATCTAAGTACTCACTTTTATGGTTGACTACTTATAACTTGAGATTATTACGGTTATAACTGAATCTAAATATTGACTTTTAAAAAGATATGATTATCTGAAGGTATCGGGGCTTGTTTTTCGGTAGAGAGACAAAGCCGATTTTGATGCTGTAAAATTGAATAAAATAGAGTTTTGCTGAAAGGTTATAAGCAATTTCTGCATTTCCTTGAAAATATGCACAGGAGAAAAGGTAAATCACCGTGAGATAATTAATGGAAAAAAGGCAAACAAATAGTATCGTTGATATACTTAAGCATTCCTTGTGAGAACAATTCAGTACTAATATTAATTCAGATTTTTATTAAAAAAAATAAATGCTATGTGTGAAAAATCAGTTATCAAAAGAATTTGTTCCCCAAAAATTTATTCCTAGAATTCCACTTCGATATTTTATATCATTTAAATTTTGATGCATTTTATTTGAAGCACCCTGTGAATTTTTTTTTTTTTTTTTGTGAAATGAGATGAATGAATGCTCAGAAGCGGAATATTTTGAAAGTGGAAAAATAACCGATAGGTCATTTATCATATAATTAATAACTTTAACCTGTTATGTTATATGTTATAATATTGTTATCGGTGGTTTCCACACAGTCAGTTGACAGTAATTTTTGTGTAAAGAAGTTTAATTCACTTATGTCAGAATTTTCCAATTCATATTTCACTATAATATACTAAAATTAGTTTTTGTTTTTTTCCAAAAACCGGGAAAAATTCATATTGATAGAAAAAAGAGCATATTCATTGTTAATTTATTCATTTTTAAAATGGGATAATTGTAACCAACAATGTTAAAATGCGAACAGAGATAAAAATCAATGAAAATATTTGCATAATATATTAAAATTCAAGTTTTGTTGTCAATATCGCGGAAAAATGCTCTCTCCGAGATTTCCTCCCATAATTCAACATTATGATTTAGTAACGATAAGCTTCTCGATTGTCGCTCATTAGATTTCACTGAAATTATGCTAATAAATGCATGGTTTAAGCATAAAGCTACTGTATTGACATGTTAAACAACTCTATGTTAAATAATATACTTAGTGCAAGTGAATAGATTATCATTTTAATTATTCAATATATTTTATTGCTACTCTCGATGGATTATAAAATAGTATCATCGTTTGAAAATTACTGTTAGCATGTTTGAATTAACAGTCAGTCAGAGATCTTTTCGATTGATCTTTGTATGTTACACAGATCATCCTGATCATTCAGGATGTGACCGGAAAGAGGTCATTGACCCAAAGAATATGTTAATGGTAATGGATAATATCCCTAGGTAATATGTCTCATGCCGCTATCCTTGTTTCAAAAGTGACTGGTAATACTTAAATTCAGCTTTTTCAGTCGATATCAACAAACCCTGATTTAGCGATTGATTGTAAGACGGTTGACGCATCAATTGTTGTCGTTGTTGTTGTTGTTGTGATAAATCATTAGCTTAACAATAAATAAATTTTTGGTTAAGTAAATATATGTTAGTTTGTGAACTTAAACATTTGATTTGATAGTAAATTTAAACACTTTTAGTAGCTATATTTGTTTTGGTTATAATTATTCTGTATTTCATTAATATTATTAACACTGCAATAAAATATGCACCGTACTAATTATATGAAATCTAATTAATATCATATGTTTCCACATTTTAAAATTACGTATGATAATTTAATGCTAATAATTTTTGATTATTTTCAAAGTAATTGAAAGTAAGGCTGCCGGAAGTTTCATAATTGCAAAAAACAGTTTCAATAAAAATAAAAAAATGTTTCTTTTGCAAGTAAGAAGCAAATTTTTTAGGCGAAAAATGAGTAGAAACTTGGGAATTTCACTTCTTTAACTAATTTACTTCCTATTTTGTTGCACTGTAATGCAGTGAGGAATTTCTAAAATTTTTTTTGAAAAAAGAAAGAAAGATTATTGAAAGCGATGAAAGTGAGAATTTGATTATGGATAATCATATGATTCGTCGTTAAAATGAAATTATAATTATTAAAGAAGCAAAAGCTCTTAGTTACTACTATTACAGGTAAAATAAATATTAGGAAGATTGGTTCTTAAAACGAAAATCATTATCATTATCATTATCATCTCCTATTTGTATATCCATCATAGAGCGACTTATAAAATGCTTACTGTTTGTTGATATTTCAGAACTGTTTTCTGATTCTGAAATATGAGATGGCTGCCGAAATTTTGTTTCCTGTCCAGATGAATTATCAGATAACGAAGATAACTGTAAGTTCTCGTTAATATTAAACGAATTAAATTCTCACAAAATTATTTACAAAAGTTTTTTTACATAATTGCTAAATAAATAATATTGCGTTTCCGTATGAAAACAAATTGATTATTCATAACTTTAAAAATAACAAATTACATCATTGATTGATCGAAAGTTTTGTAAATCATATGCGTTTTAACTTTCATTTAAAAATTATAATTAAAGTATTAGCAACAGAGCTTACTAATGAATGAGTAAATAAATAAATATATATATATATGTAAATATTTCGAAATATAAGATGAATTTATTCAAGCATGAGAAAAAAAAAAAGAAACTTGGAAAGATTTTATGCTTACTGATGAAGGTAACTGCCTAACTGACGGTAAACATTGCGCATTTCCAATAATTTAAGATTGTAAAAAAAGCTAATTGATTTTTTTTAAGTGTTAAAATATATCAGAAAAAATTACGCTTGAAATTAAATAATTAGTAAGTTATTGAAATCTTGCTAACTGATGAATTTAGAAAAGTTTCATGATTGCTACCGAAGAAAGTGGTGACTAATCTGACAAAACATTTGAGTAATTAAATTCGTTAGCATAAATAAAAAAAAGCGCTAATGGATTGTTAGATTAAAATTTGTTGAAAATTTACTATTAAAAGCATTACATTATTATTTATTAGCGTAATTAGCTCAAATAGTTTCGTACTCATTTCAAAGCTACTGCTAATAATTTGAAAGATTTGCACAACGAAAAAAAAAATAAATAAAAAACTCTTAGAATAAAAATGCATGCATATAATATTGCTTTTTATAACTGCGATATTTTTATTTTTCCTTAAAAAATGCATAAAATCAGATTTAGGTTAGAAATTACAGTAAACTTTTCAGGTCTTTATGGTCTGAATTATATTTAAATCATTTTAGAGAAACAATTTGTACTAATACTATAAGCAGATTGTAATTGACAAGTATATGACAAGTTATTGATAAGAATGTTAAATTGAACGACCTAGCACAATAGTATTCTATTAAAACGGAAATTATGACAACTGATCCAATAGTCTAATGTAAGATTTTACTTGTGTTTTACTTATAATATTCATTAAAATACCTTCTTTACCTGATCTTTAGTAATACTGCTTATCGGTGATATGATATTAGTTTTTGATGGTAATGCATCCGAAAGTGAAATGGATTCAGATGTTAAATCGGTTGTTTCGTCATCCGAAATCAGAAAGTTGCTAGATTTACTTGAATCGATAATTTTATTTTCTTCACTACTTTGAAAATCAGTAATACTTTCTTGGTTATCACCAATTTCATTCACTGTTCCTTTGTTCATTCCTCCACTGATTTTTCCCCTTTTTTTCAGATCTATCCGTGATTTCTGACGTTTCGGTTGCTGAACAGTGATTCCGGTTAGTTTGATCAGTCCAGAATACTGGTTTTCTTTTTTGGTTTTCTGGATATTTTGAATACTAACATGATCTTTTAACTGTTATTATTTCTTCTTGTAATATAAACAGCGCTAATTATTTTAAAATTAGAATTATTGATTTTTTTGAATCAAAAATTGAAAAGTTTTATAATTGAAATTTTCCTTAGCAACGGTTTTTTCAAAATCTAAACAAATAAAACACAACATATGTTTACATGAAATAATTTCTTAAATCTTACAGTTTCAGTTGTCATCGTTTGTGATGGTGTCGTTTTGAAAGATTCCATCGATGATGACCAGTTTGAATCTTTCTGTTGAATCTGCTTTTGATATTGTGATTTCTTGTAATTATAAAAATTAGCGAATTTCTGAACTACTTAAAATAACTGAATTAATGGATGATAATTTTTACTACTATTCACTTTAGAATTATTAATTTCCAGAAAAGTGGAAAAATTTTTAAAAATTCAAATTTTAATATATAGAATACTTCTTCGAAATCCAATGCATATAATTCCAATATTTCATAGAATTTTAGTAGAATTATCATTAATTTAAGTTTGGATGGTGATTTATGATGCTGAACGAGGAAACAAGATGTATTGGAGGGTACCGATGAAGTTGGTGATACTGGTTGATTTAGCTTTGAATCAGTTTCCTTCTTCTTCCACATAAAGTCGGATCGAATATTGGAACTTGAATCTGATGTTTCATCTGCTACTTGTTTTCTCTGTAATTTCAATTTTTTCGATGCAAAATTAAGATTACAGGTATGATCATGTGATACAAATTTTTTTTAATCAGTTAGCAGAATTGTGGTCAGATTTAAAAAATTTTTGGAACATGATTTTCTGAAAGAAATATTACAAAAGCTTATCCTATGTGAACTCACCGTTGATTCTGATTGAAATGATTTCCCACGAAGTGATGAACTTTCAAACTCAGATTTACTATCCATTTTTGACTGTACAGCATTTTTTTTGGACTTGAACCTATCACCAAACATTAACTTTTAATTAACATTAACCTTTGTATCTGGCGTTGTTTTCGGTAATACTTGACATTTACTCTTAGCGTTTGTGATATCAAAATTCCCCTTCTGAAATTGGTTGTAAAATTTGGAGAGTTAGAGAAGTAATTATTTGCATCCAATACTCTTATTTCAAACACTAAAACACCGATACTTTATTTTATTCATCAACTAAGACAGATATAAGAAAAGGATTTGAATTTGATTCATGAAAAATAAAATTCGTAACAAATAACTCCACTCGTAAAATTCCACTTTGAATTTCAAGTCCAATCTTCAAATACATTTATTCATGTATTACCAGCAGTATCAGGAAGTAACCTTTGATATGTTACGGTGCGGAATTGTTGTATTGAATTTTCGTTTCGTTATTAAACACTCATCACTTTTATATTCTTCACTTTCATTCTTATCAGCAGTATCAGTAAGTGGAGAGGATGATTCGCTAGTTGAATTGAAGCGACGATGACGCCGAGAATGACGCAGAAGTTCTTGTAGTTGAAAAATTTGAGATTGTAGACTAGAAAAGAAATCATTCATATAAATATATATATTTTTTCATTATTAATGAGAGATAATCAGTCGAAAAACTACACTGTTCCTAATTTGAGTCAAAATTAAAAATCGAATTTGTATACTAATACTTTCAAATATTCATACTTACTTATGTTCTGCATCATTTAATTGCCAATATTCAGCATCATATACATCAATAGCTTTCTGAAGATTTGTTAAGTTACTTTCAGTTTGATTAATTTGTTCTCTCAACGATTCATAATTATTCATTTGAGAATATAATTCTTGACGCAATTCGATTCGTCTTAAATTAAGTCTTTCTGACGTATTTCTATATTTGTCTTCCTCAGCTGTTTCCAACTGAAATTAAATCAATTTTCTTTTATTCATACTTATAGAACGGATATCAATTGATTTACCGAATTGAATGTCTTAATTAAATACATTAGCTGATCCAAAATGATAAGTTCACCTGAAGTGCTCGTCGTTCTACAGTAGCTGTTGACAGTAATATCTCGAATAATTCTCGATTTGCAAATGCCATTTCATCCAAAATTATTGCCCAGTTAGCAGCATCGAAATTCTTTATAAATAATTACTAAGTTTAACACTTCAAAGTTCATTGTCAATTTAATCATTTAAACCATATTTATATGATGGTCCTTATATTAAGTTTTCTTAAAAAACTAATATGTTAGTGTTTTATATTTACGTTCAATGACATACTTAATTTTACAATCATTTAAAACAATCTTTTTAGTAAGTAAGAAAAGAAAAAATGATACATTACAAATAACTGAAAAGAAAGACCTGCTCAGAAATTAATTTAGAAATTTTTGTTAACTGTTCCGAGTATCGTTTTTTCCGATGTTCAATTTCAGCATTGGACGTTTCACAGTTAATGCATAAAATGTTTAATTCTTTAAGTCTAAAAAATCCATATTCATTTTATAAATTATTTTCTGCATTTCTTGATAAGATGTGACACTATATAAGACAATGTGTTCAAATTATAATCGTAATTCAATTTCATAGTGAACATATTTCAAATCGTAGCAAAAGCAATAAATTGATCAAACAGATCAAATCAGAATTATTTAATGCTAAATATATTGATCAATCATGATTGATTAACGAAGTATTTTAATGAATTCTAATTGATCTAATCATTATTCCTGATAATACCAATGTTAAAGACATAAATTTTAATGGTAGAAAAAAAGCAAAAATAATTATTATATCCAAAATTATAAGATGGTTAAATTGAAGAAATATGCACAATGTCAAATATCATTTAAATTTGTTAAGTTAAAAATTTTTTTCTAGAAAAGTTCAAAAAAACTAAAACTTAAGAAATTTCTTCTTTTTTTTTTTTTTTTTTTTTTTTAATTTTTTTTTTTTGTTTTGCAAATTTGACAATTACTAATTACTTTTCCTGAAAATGATGAATATCAATTTTCAACTGGCAATTTTCAGCATTAGTATTTTGCCAGATATTCAACTCATTGATAATTTCTTTCTTAAGTGAACGTATCATTCCAGCGAGACGTTTCGCTGATATGTATGCATGGACATCGCTGTTTTTTGTTGTTGTTGCTAAACTTCAAATTATTAATAATTTAAGAATAAATTTAGATTAAAAAATAAAGTAATTATTTGCCTAAATGTGAAAGTTTTTTTTTTTTTCTTTTTTAATAAGGATGAAAATAACGAAAAACTCTTCCAATAATTTCATTTACACATTTCAGCAATATTCGTACAATGCATCAATGTAACCGCATAAGCTATCTAAAAATTGATCAAAATGACTTTTTTCTTTTTATATAGAAATTTCGAAAATTAGCATAGCTAATTGAAAGTAAATTAAAATGTTTGAAAAGCTATCATATCATTTAGATGATAATTTAAGAAAAAAATTACAAAGATAGCTTAAAGAAAAAAAAAAATCACAAAGAAAATGATTAGAATAGTTGTTTTGCTTAAAATCGCATCATCTTAAGAAGTATAATTTAATTTTTTTTTTTATAATTTCGTTTTATTAAAGTTTTGGTCAAACATTTTTTTTTCTTTTATCTTCCATTAAAACCTCAGTTGTGCTACTAAAAGAATGTAAACAAATCAGAGACAATATCTCTGGAATATTTCTGTCAGCATAATCTGAGACAAAAAGAAAAAGGAAATTTTTTTTGAGTGCTGTCAAAATTACTAATTTTTTAAATGACAAACAGTTCACATTAAAAGTTAAATTTTTAATGTAAAATGTGCAAAAAAAAGCGCTACTTGGAATACCTGATAAAAATTTCAAAAACAATTTTTGGGAGCAAAATCAACTTTTCCAATTATTTTTTAAAGAAAAAAAAAAAATGATAATAAGGTGTAAAAGGATTACTCTAATAATTTGACAACAATTTAAGATGCAATAACATTCCTAAATTAGATAATCTGATTCATTTTTAAGTATGGACCCAATTATAATTTATTATTTTTCATTATTTTGGTCCATTTTTCTAAGTATGAACCTAATAATTGAAATTACTCAACAGCGTACTTCCTTTGTTCAGCGCAGCGTACGTAATGATACGTAATTAAATTTTGAGAAAAATATGGCCTGGCAAGTAATAGTTGTTAATTTTTTGGTCATCATGCTTAGTCCAAATCATTTTGATCCCCCAGTATTATCATATGCCTACTTCTTATTTTCTCCCTTTATTCCTATTTTTTAATTAAAAAAAAACAGATCAAAATGTCGCGGTAAAGTTTTTAAATATCGAAAGAACAGCTAATATCTTTTTATCAAAATGTATCAAAAGAGAAGGAAGATCCATATTAAATGTACTCTGATATTTGCACTACTAATTAATATACCATTCATTAATTTAACAAAATATGCATCAATTCCCAACCAAATCCAAATGAATTCTCTAAATATTTATTATAATGGATCAAAGTACTTTACTTATGGATGAATTCCATTCAATTATATTAGTATATCATAAATAAATTAATATTAGTAAATGAATATGAATCATTTATTTTCTACTGCTATTCCATTTAAGCATAAATATTTTGATGCAACTTGATTTATGACAAAGAAAAGATTGGAAGATCGACAAGCAAGCATGAATAGATCTCACTTACTGTTATATTCCCTGTAATTAGATTCCAGTTTTAAATAAGTGATATGATAAGATATCAATAGCTAATGATGAATTTACTACATTCCTCGTCCGTGCTCTGAACATTGGGCTATTATTGATGATAAGTATGAACTGAAGCTAAGAGGAACGGATTTCTGTTTCCAAATCTATTCGAAATCAGATGACAAAGAATGCTTCACGCTGTGACACTGTGCCATGTCAACGGTGGATTACAGGTGAGTCTACCATATTTTGTAAAATTGTGCTACACTGTTATTCATACATTAATTAACTTCTTTACCTACATTTAAAATTTATAAAATAACAATAAAGATTTGACAGAAGAGAGGAGAAAATGGTAAGGTAAACGGAACGAGAAAAGATAAAAAATCTCGATGATGTCACAAAGTAGTTAGAAAAAGAATTTTCTCCATTGTTCTAAATAATTGTCTAGAAAAATCTAAGAATAAAAAGAGATATTTCTCCATTTAATTATCTACATTTCTTACATTTAATAGTAAAAAGAATCAGTAATAGAGAAATTTTAAATAACAGAGAAATTATGAAATGATTTCTTTTTTTTTTGTTTACCCTTTTTACTCTATATCACATAGCTAAATAATCTTGTCGTACACTCATTTTATGTTAATATTTTATAGAATGGAAATTGAAAATTCATTGAGATCAAAAATGAAAAAAAAAAATAATAACATTTAATCCTCTTATGATGAATGTTTTGCATAGAATGAATGCGATAACTAAAACTATGATATAAATATATGTAAATGTAATTCTTTTATCATTTTATGCTTTGTTGTACTGTTAATCATCAATGTCATATTATTCCATTATTGGATTTATTTATCAAATACATATATAAAATAGGATAAACTACTGTTATTGTTATAGTAATCGATAGAATAAAACATGGAATACATTAATTACTCATAAACCTACCGTACATCCTAAGGTGACAAGTTCATAGTTCCATTTCTCTTAAAATAAACTTTCTTATTTAACAATTGCTGCCAACATTTAATGGCGAACTGCGTAAAATCTTGTCCACTACATCACCAGAAGAAATGCAAAAGGCGGTGATGTGTGAACGATTTGGGGCGCTATGGTATGTCCCATTGGCTATTTTTGTTATTGTCCTTTACAATGAGTATTTGATATATTACATAACAATCTATGTGACATGTTCGTGGCCTGTATTGCCATCGCGAGAACATGAACAGAAAGAAGAGACGAGAGTAATGATTTTAACCGATATTCATCTCCTCGGACCTCGTCGAGGACATTGGTTCGACAAGTTGAGGCGGTTCGCTTTCCTGTCCTTTTTTTTATTCTCTGTGTAAAGATCAGAGTTAAAGAAGAATTTCATGAAAGTAAAAACGCAAATTTCCGTTCCACTATCTTCCATTTCTTATTACAAGAACAGGATGTTGAAATTAATTTTTTTGGACGTGAAATTGTTTACATAAAGATAAAGTTGCATTCAGGAAGTTAGCTGCATCAATATGTAAAATTAGAAATGTCTGGATAACTTAAAAGACAAGAGAAAGGTTGGGTACTAAAGTCTAATTTACTATGCACTAAATATGCAGTGGATAAGATGGTGGACAAAAATTGATATTTGATTGGGCAAGTGAAAGTAATAGTTGCATTAAATGTGAGTAGTGTTTAATCCAAGTAAAGTTAATAACATGAAATGATTTAATAGAAATGTTTGCAACCTTGAACTACAATAGCTTTCAGAAATTCAATGGATATACTATAAATTTATTGAAGTATGTTTAAAAGTATTAGAATTCTTAGAAGTTCAGTTTTACTCCATTTTGTTCAATTTCAAAAAACCATACAATTTTCATCCACATAATAAGTTTTCAATACTTCTGATTCAGTTATGTTTACTTTAAATATTTACACTTGAGCTGCAAAGAAGGATGAGCCATATTATGCTTGGTTTTGCTATTTTTCAGGGAATGGCAAATGCATCGATCGTTTCAGTCAGCCGTATCATTAATGCATCCACATGCCGTTTTCTTTTTAGATTTGTTCAAATATATATTATAATTTTAAATTCATATATAAATGTTCAGTCTTTAAATATGCAATCAAAAGGACAATAAGAACAAGATTTATTAACTCCTATAATTGGCGGCGACAGCATCCTTAGCATAGTTTGAAATTCATATACTTCAAATGATAGACGAATCACCCAAGACTGCATGAAGCAGATAATAGTTTGATTGGTTTTGAGTAAATATGTCATCCGAATTGTTTTTCTTTTTTAAATACTTTTGTTTTCTGAAAGATTCGATCAGATTATTTTCTATCGTATTTGTCCATAAGAGAAGGAATTTGTAAGAAAATAAGTAAAGGAATTTTTTGATTTTTTCTAATGAATCAAAGATTTTTAAGATGATTTTGAGAGAGAAAGAGAGAATTTCAGGCGATATATTTGATGAAGGTACCATAAGCAATCAGCAGGAACTTACGAATAATATAAATCGTTTCAACGAACTTTTTTATGTACCTAGAGATGTTGAGAGACAGTGTATTCTGGGTAATCATGATATTGGATTTCATGATCAGTAAGCTTCATAATGTTTTGTATTCTTTTAATATTAAGCGTGTCAAATTTTGAGGACTTTAAATTAAAGCCAATTACGTATGTTTTTTTCCAATTATCTAATTTTTTTTTATCTGGTTTTTTTGAGATCCAGTAGGACTGGCGTTAGTTTGTTAATGGTAATGGAACAAAATAAAACAGCGCACTGTTTTTATTTTCTAGTGCCGGAAAATTTGAGAAATGCTATTTTTGTAATCCTTCAGCATTTGAGATCTTAAAAAAGCTTTCAGAAATTTAATCCAAATATAATTCCAAAAGCTTTATCTAACAGGATTAGTCCAGCACGACTCCGGTTTCTGTCCGAACATTTTTCACGGTCATTTGCTGATCACATTGTTATCGGTGGGAATCATTTTGTATTGCTAAATTCGATGACACTTGAACGTGATGGTTGTTTCCTCTGCACCTCCACCGAACGTCAAATTGAGGAACTGAGTCGAAGTTTTGATTGCACCAAAAATGTAACAATATGTAATACACAATCAAGACCTGTTCTGCTACTTCACTTTCCATTGTATAGGTAAATTTCAATGAAATTCAAAGTTTTTTTTCTTCCTAAATTATCAAATCAGAGTTTTTTTCTTTTTCTTAAATTCGTTTTAGCTTATCACAAAATACGATTGACAAATTTATGTTCATCTTGTCTTCGGATAACTCTTAGTTCCTGTCTGTCATTATCATCAGATACGTACGCATTTGACCGAATTTTTTTCCCTTTTTTTTGTATTAATAGTTGTTTTCAAATGAAAATTTCTTATGTGTTACTGAATTCAAAATTATAAGTATTTGTGAAGATTTAAAAAAAGAAATCAACTTTTATATAAATTTTGAAGTTTAGGGAAAGTGATGCGAACTGCCCGGATGACTATGATGCAGCTCCGGAACCAATGAAATCGAATCGCTTTCATGTTGGCATTGATTGTCTTTCCAATGCTTCATCCCAGTATATTTTGGAAAAGTTGAAACCTCGTGCTGTTTTTAATGGTCATGCACATTATAGTTGTCGAACTTGGTGAGTTCTATTTTCAAATTTTGAATTAATCATACCCTCACAACAAATCTCTTTCATATACGTCATCATAAAAAATCCGTACACATGAAAAATATCTGCATATTAAGTTCTAATTGCATATTTTTTAGCTCTCTTTGAAATCTGCATAATTTGTGGATTCACTGGACAAAACTTTTCGTCATTTCAAAATGTTAAGAATTCATAATGTTTAAAGTCGCTTTTTTCAAGTAGTAAGCACGTTTGTTGGATATGTTCTGGAACAGTGATTCCGAAAGTATTGCTGTTTATATAAGTTGTAGGTGGCCACCACCGTACAGTATGAATGAATGGACACTATCATCGTTTTCATGGCGAAATATCCCACAACCTGCTTTTCTTCTTGTCACCGTAATGCCCGATGATATTCAGGTCAACAAGTGCTTTCTACCGAATGAGAAAACTGTTATTGGTAGTTATATTGTGGTTGCTTTGGGTATAATAGTTTTTTTGTTCTATCGTTTAGTTTCACATTTACGGCACCGACAGCCATATTCGTCATACCAAATCGTAACTCAGAAGTGCGATTAAATAATGACTTCCAAAGTTTTCTTCAGATTGATAAAATTTTGGAATTCGAAGATGCTAAAGCTTTAAATCATAGTACTCTTTTTTATTGGCTTAGCTCCATTATAGCAGTCTCTAGTGTATATTTTGTGTTATGGGGAAAGGAGGGAAGATCTAATATTTTGCAGTTCGGGAAGAAAGGGAATGACTTTATAATTTGCACTTTGGGAAAAGAGGGATTAAATATTAGAGATATTATTTTATTAAATATTTTCTAAGTTTTACGCATTAATTCGGGTTCGTTTCATACCAATTTTCATAGCTTTTTTTTGAAAAAAGAGCTCTTTATTTTAATTATATATTATTGTCGTCGCTCTGTTTTTGATAACACGAATTACTACATATAAATTTATATTTTCATGCATTTTCCACCATATTATAATTGCATTTCAAACACATATAAAATACTGTTTGTCCTTCATCAGCAGATCGTGTTTGTCTACATGCATAACTCATCTTGCCATGGCCACATTTATCACATATTTTATCAACAACAGGGTTTTCCAGTGCACCTTCGTTGGCATTCAGCACACGATTCTGGTATACTTTCTCGGACCTATACACCAGTTTGTTTCGAATAGCTGCAAATATGTCGATGAGGAATTACCGGTAAACACTATAAGCTTCTTTAGTCAAGTAGGACTATATTTGTGAGATGCTTAGTCCAATATTTCTGGTTATTTTATAATTATGTAATTAAGAATTGTTTATATTGAGTAAAGAAGTTAGCAGCCCATTTCCGGCACATCTAATTTTGATTTTCTGTGACAGTAAGATTTCAATAATTCAAATAGCCCTAGCGTAGGAAGTATTTAAAATGTTGATCACAATTTCATGTTTCAATGATTGCCAGAAATACTAACGTTTGATATGCCATTGCGTTCGGCAGTAGCTACACGTAATGGTAACGGGAGCGGTAGCTGGTATTGGAAGCACTGTGCCGCACTCAGAACAAAATTCGGACAACATCCAATACTGTCTATAATGAAATAAATTACAGAATTAATTTCTATCAAGGACTGATTTTTTTAAAGCATTGAAAAATCTGAAATGATTTCTTCCGAAAACTGGATAGCAGGAAATTAGAAATTCACTAAGAATTAATCTTTATTCGTAAAATACAACATCTCCGACCGACTGGTGGAGGGGAAGAAAAGCTTTGTTGCAAATGAAATCCATATAAAGCAAGGGAGGAAATATTTAAGAAATTAAATGTCCCATTTTAGTCCTTTAAACTCTTTTAAAGTCATACGCTCCACTCTTAGTGGGTAATATCAAGCTTAGATTCTCAAAAACAACATTGGTTCGTGGATGGAATGTTTCCTCGAATAATACTTTCTTGATACATTTCAACGTTTAATGTTAAAAAGTTTATTTACCCAAAAAAGCTGATTTAATTACTGATCAGAATTATTTACAATATAGAATTATTTACAATATATTGGCGATGTTAAAGATACCTGTGCTGTAATTATGTTGCAAAATTAAAGTCAACCAATTATGAAGCTAATGTAATTAAGTCAAAAGCAAGAGGACGAGGCGACATTAAATGATTTTTCTTTGCAGAGATTTCTTTTTTTTTCGAAATAATACAATTAACCTCACACTCCCGGTATGGTCCTGACTATCATCCAACTACAAAAAGAGTTAGAAACACAAATTACAACTACAAAAAGAGTTAGAAACACAAATTACAACTACAAAAAGAGTTAGAAACACAAATTAATATTTCCAAAACATAATTCACTGTTGATAAGTGGATTAATTTAACTTAGGAATTTTTCCATAACCCAGCAATGAATGTTTCATTTGAATGATGTTTAATTTTACATTTTCATTTTCCTTAAATTATTCTAAAAACTATTCTTAAATGAACACACATTCTTGTAAAAACGAGAAAAAAGGAGGCAGAAAATTGAGCAAATCAGCAAAAAGTCCAACAGAAACAAAAACATATAACGACAAATTAGGAATGAAAATGGAAAATCAGAACACAGAACTTAGCATATCATTATAACGCTTATAAAAAAATGAAGAGGGAAACTTTATATACATATTTGCATATTTATATACATATTTGTGTATATATCTACAATTTTTAAATATTAATGATTCTCCCGATTTGAACAATATTTGAAGACATAAATAATTTTATTAGCTTCCACTTTCTACCTGCAGGAGCTTTCATCATTCTTTGTAAACACCGAAAAACCTCGCAACACAATTCTGAAATTCCAAGAATCATAAAGAAAAAAGGAAATAAGAGTAAAAAATAGTTACACTATAAAATTCTCATGTAAACCTGCATGAAAAAGATTTCACTGATCATTAATATCTGGAAATTCCAGTGTTTCAAATGGAAAACCTAGAATCGGAAAATAAGTCAATGTATCCATAAGGAAAACAGTACGACATCATGAATTCCGAAAAAAAAAAAGATGTGATTATTACTATAAAGTAGCTAATATCCTTGAAAAGCTAATAATCACAACAGCAAGTGTTTGTGCTGAACCAAGCACCATGCAATGCCAACAACTAATTGCTTTATCAGCTGACGTAAACATAAGCGCTATTGAAGCACTTGTTAGCGCACCAACAGTTGCAGGGCCTAATATTGCCATACCTGAAATATTATCATGAATGGACATCTTGAAGAAATTAGAACTATTAAATAATCTAAGTTTTATAAAATTTAAGCAAATATTAAATTATTTGAACTATTTATACCCTCAATACCTAAATCACTAGATTTATATCTAAATCAATTTTTCAAGTAATGAATTCGAATTGTGATGAAATGACCCCTCATTTTCTAGCATTTAGTTTAGCGGTAATTCATCATTCATCTATTTTTTTTATCCATTTGCTGCAGATTTGTTCATTACGAATATCATGAATCAAAAGTGAACGAAAGACATGAATTTCTGTTTTATGTCTAATGAATGGATTACCCCTTTTAGTTTGGAAATATGTGCATGTCAATTCAACATTAATCAATTTCATCAACCACTTAAGTAATTGAAGGATTCCACAAGTCAAAAATATCAGTATAATTATGAGGAAAGATACTTTTTTGAGTGAAATGATTTACTCGTTACGAAGGGAAAAAATATGATAACATCAAGATGTAATATATAATTACATGGTCTAACCTAAGAGTAAGTTCGTTCAAGAAAATGGAGAAATGGAAAGTAACCAAGTTTAAACTTCAACAAGACAAATATTAATTATAAACTTAATAAATGAAAAAGAAACTAAATCCAGCTAAATAATAAAATTCAAAGAACTAACCAAATATAGAAGCTGCATAAATAAACATCCATGGATGATTTCGTAGCATAATCATTGAAATTAATGCAACAATAATGTAAACAAATGCATATGAAATGACCATCCATAACGTAATTCCAAGAAACATTTCCCAGAATGACGAGATATCTTCGCCACTTAGCGTTAACACTTTCCACAACGAATAATTGCTTGTCCTGGAATTTTAACACCTAACCAATTGCTATATGTTGAAAAATTTTCTAAGCACTAAACAATATTTTTATTTTATAATCGTTTAAAAATTAAATCAGAACTTACGTTGTGGTAGCATTTGCTTCCGCTGCAAAAATTGAAAAATGTCCTGCAGTCATTTTTTAACAAAATTCACTAGGAAAAAAATAGAAATGGACATCTCCAATATAAATTTATACTTTCCTAAAAATATATTACTGGTAACATTCAAGAATTGCTTAGACATTTATATGTAACGCACGATATCCAACTCATTTACGATAGTTTGGTAGTTGTATGCATATCTTATTGTTAAAATTTTATATTAACTGCTATTTCATTCAACTAATTTTATAAAACTATAAATAAAAAAATCAATTTGCCATTATATAATCTACGCAAAATCATTAACTCAATCCATCAACTGATCTAGAAAGTCTCCGGAACATAACTGAAAGGAAATATCCAACCTATTTATCATCTAATAACAAACAAAATAATATTACATCCGATAGAAGAAATTTAAACTGCATTTTTTAATTTGCAGAAAAGAACAACATAAAAAGACTAAAGAGTATTCAGTTTTATCAAGAATTTCAAACCATCCAAATGATATAATACTTTTCAAAAAACGGAATTTGCTAGATCCAACAAAACATTAATAAAACTGAGGGATGCAAGAAAAGATTTATGCACCAAAACTTAGATGAGACTCACCGTTACTGCTACACTAAAGAATCACGCAACTGACCTAAGCGTTTGACCATTATAAAAGGTCAAACTATTTCTAAATAGCACTATGTTTAATGAGTCAAACAGAAATCCAGATTCAAAATAACCGCAAAAATGTATAAAAAGGTGATATGATAATGAAATTAAGGCTAATTTATCATTTTACAGGGATACGGTGAGAAATTGAGAATATAAAACAACCATTTATGGTAGTAATATAAATTGTTATAATCTCAAAAATAGACGAATCAATGCAATTACAATCTGCAAATTTTTGGTAGAAAAATTAAACAAAATTTCTGAGACAACACAATTGTACCAATAATTTCTTCAACATAAAACAATATTTTGAGTAGCAAATGCACGTGAAAGACATGCAGCAGAATCAGCATCCATCCAAGCAAATGGTATCCCAATATCTGCAATACTGCGCAAACCATCCGAATTCTTTTGCTTTAAGGCTATAATAACAAATAATGATTGTATGCTTGAAACAGTTTTTATAGATAACGCAATTATACTTAATTTGAGATCATTTTAATAATATTCCCAAAATATAGGACTTATCAGATTCAAAAGTATAAAAAACTTACAATCACTGTTATCAGTTCCAACACCAACCATCAAGATATGCTCATTTTTGATAAGCTCTGGCGGTTTCTCTATACAAATCAAATGAACTGGCGGCCACAAATTCTTTATCCATTTCTTGACACTTTCCAAAAGCAAAGGGCCCAAAACAACGATAAGCTATAATAAATCAAAGCAGGAATCCGAAAAAAAAAAAATTATACTTGCATTTCTCGTTCGGTTTATAAACTGTGTGACGAAGAGAGATGAAGCTAATTATAATTAAGCCTACATAATTTAAATATCAAAATCCAACTGTACAGGCATCATTGGAAGCTAATTTCAAAACCTTGAAAACATTAATAATGTATAATATAAAGCACTTAATTTTAGTCAACAAAATATCTCCATTCGGTTACGGAATTTATATTATTTCATACAATGTACAGAAATGAAAACAAAAATAATTACTTGAACATCATGTTTCGGAAGCTCTTGTACATCATGGACTTGAAGTACATGTGGCAAATTGTACTGCCCAAGTAAGCATGAATATACAACTGTTTGACAAGCTCTATTTGAGATGTGGCGCAAAAACATCGTCGTTAAAAAAGTATTAACTGCTGCTGAGTCCAACACAACCATTTGACTAACCATTATTTCAAACCTATAATTTATGAAATTATACAGTTTTTAAAAAAAAAAACTGTTTAATCTTAATAATTATTGAGATATTCGTTATAGTTTGGATTTCAAGGTTTTGGTACTTATGTTTTTTTAAAACTTCAAATTTCGTACATCGTATAATCTTTACCTTCAAGAAGTTTACTTACTTTGACTGTATTGCAATCTTTTTTCTTTACATTACAGTTTTTTTTCTTGGTGCTTTCTGTCTGTGAGAGAAGGTAGAATTAAAGATAGAAAAAAAGATCACTTTCTCGGAACTTGTATGGAACATAATGCAATGTCAAGTTAAACCTGAACTACAAATTATATATATATTGTAGTATGAGTATTATTAAATACAAAGTTCGAAAGGAAAAAGAAAACTTATCTATCAATAATGTTCCAAATAAACAGCATTAAACGATCGGCGATCATTACATGGAATATATCACTTCCCAAATAAGGTTCCGCTCTCTGCAACGATTGAATTGGAAGAGTGCAAATAAAGAGATTACCACCCTTAATCAGCACAGATAACCAAGAAATGGTTTTGATCAGTTTTGAAAAGATTTTGGAGAACTAATAAACACTAAATAAAATTTTAAACTCGGAAACTGTTCATGTTTAATAAAAATTAAGCAAAATATACTTGAAAGTAACCTGCAAAAACTTTTCCTTATCACACGGTTTTAAAAACGGAATCCGCTGTCCATCCACTGTTTTTTCAAAACGAGCAGCAGTAAACTGATCATTTGTCCTTGTTGTCCATGACGTAACTCTCGATGGATCCGAAATGATATTTTCAAAATGTTCGTAATTCTTCTGTGAAAACTGCGTCCCCAGAGCTGAGATTTCCTTCTGCTCGGAAATATTGGCATTTTTTTCCTGTTATACCAAAATATTTATCGATGAACTGGTAGGAAAAAAAAATTACAGGAAAAAAAAATATCATTAAGTATGAGGAATGAACTGCTTACAATACAGATAACTAATATAATGATGACAATAAAATTTTCAAAAAAAACCTGAAAAAAATCAATTTCCATTTCAAAGAATCATTAAGTTGTGTAAACGAACAACTTCATCATAATTTCATTAAAAAATTGGGAAATGAACATATCAAAGCGAATATAAATATTACTCACATAATTTCTGAAAATCTCCAAATTTTTCTCAAAATCGAAATCCTCATTCAAATCAAAATCAATAGGTTTAATAAGATCTTCATTTGTTTTCTTATCTCGATTATTTTGACCAAAAGCATCTGATTCCAATATCCCACTATGCCCACGATCTAAAATTAATTTTTTTAAAATAAGTAACTCACTAATATTTGAAAAAAAAAAGAAAAAATACTCGAATTAAACCATCTAATCACGTCCAAGATATCTCAATCTGTACCAACAGGCATTCTTTTGAAATCAAGATCTGAATACAAGCATATGTTTACTTCGTCTTGCCTTGTGCGACTGACCAGCTGAACATGGCAGCAATTTCGGTTCACTACAATTTGCTGGAAAACGTTTCCCACCTGAGTGAGTTCCAGGCTTACTGTTTAATTTCGATCTAAAAAAGAAAAATTAGTGATAGATACTGATAATAGCTGAATACTCCAAATGAGCGGAATATGATTAAAAATATTAATTACTTCCCTTTAATTGTCCTTGTTGATTTACGACAGCAGTCAAATCAAATTGAAAAAACTACATATTCTTAAAAAAGAAAGAAAGAAAAAACACACTTACAATGCTTTGGTTATTGGCGATGAACAAGACGAACCAGAAGGAGAGGAGCAAGGCGACTGCTGTTGATTTGTATGTAGTGATGGATTATTACTGAACGCGAGAACTGTGGCAGTATCGGTGGTAGCAATATTCTTGTGAGTGCTTGTAGATGCTTTACCCGATCCCTTTTTGAAATTTGCTCGTTGTGCTGACCTTATATGTTTTGCTGCTTTTGATGGAAAGTCACCGGCGGCATGCAATTCAATTAAAGGTTTTTGAATGTTCATCGAATGTTCAGCTGATCGTGCTTTGCTTCCTTCCGCACTTGCACCATTATTAGGAGCATCTATAGATTCTGCAGTAATTCCTTCAGAAATAACCTGAATACTGCAATCCGTTAAAATCAGAAAAAACTTTCGACTAAACAAACATATGAATTATTAGAATTGTCTAATCAAAGTTATGGAAACGTGTAAATAAAACTATTTGAAATCACATGAACATATGAGAGCATTTACCTCTCATTCTTTTACCTGCACCCAAAAAAAAAAAAGAACAGCAGGTGATTCCTGTGTCTGGCTTTATACTTTTATATCTAATGAACTTCTGATGATAATCCAAAAACATCATTTTTGGCTTTGTCTATGTTCCGAATTTATTAAAATATTCAATTTGCGATCGAGCCCCTTTCTTTATTTCCATTCCACATTGTTTCGTAATATTACCTTTCCATTCCTTGTTTCAGTCCTAACATCCAAAATCCGGAAAGAAAGAATCGAACTGATCGGGAATTTTCTTTCAAGTCCACCCATCGGCTTACCATCTCTGAAAATTCATTGCTAAAACTGCAAAATTTTGAAATGAAATATATTTTTTTCTACACAATACAACAGATCAAATATCGAGCCCAGGTCCTGTCATAAACTTTCCAGATATATCTTGAGAATGACAGAGAGAAATAAGAAATCGTACAAAAAGGGCCGTTCTACGAGCACAATTTGATTATCTGAATCAACGGACTTGATCCGTCCCTGAATACATTTACCATTTCTCATATACAGTGTTACCACTTGTCCAACGTCAGTCATCAGTATTGTGAATCTGAAGATTTTTCATATTCCGAGATAAACAATTTAAAAAAAAAAAAAAAAAATGCTAAAATCAGAGAGTTCTCCACCAACAAACATGAACATTAACGAAAAGGGTCATATATCAGTTACTGTTTATTCTTCTGTTTTAATGCTAATGATAAAATCTGAAATACCACATGGTCAGGAAATTATCTAAGTACATCTCCAAAAGTCACTGAAATTCACAAAATAATCTAAAACATTCAAACTAATGTTAAACGTTCAGAGATACATGACCAAAAATTAATGCAAAAATTTAATTATTTTGAAAATGTGAAAAATGCATTAATAAAAAATGAACCAAAATCCCGAGTCAGATTATTTACACTAGTTTTTTTTTTTTTTGGTCATGTACAATAGATGTTAATTCATATCACAAAATGGAAAATGAATTTAAATATTCCAGATTGATAAACAACTTTGCTGTCGCAAACATAATCGCTAAGTGGGCATTTTCTTGGCAAATTCGTCAGACTATAAGGATGAATACAAGACTGTGTTATAAAATATGTCACTAGCAAGAAAATTTTAACAATTCTAACAAAAAAAAAAAGTTATTCAGTATGAGGAAATAAGCTATCAAAAGTAGTACTGAAAATATCACAAATGATTGAACTATATAACTAAAAATAAATGAATATATAGTAGAATAAAGAAGATTTATAATATAATGTCAATCTAAGAAGCTTATATCAATAATAAACATTGTAATAACTAATACCGCTTTATAATGTACTTTTTTTTTCTCATTGTAAATAACTTTAAACAATTAACCTTCTATTATTCTTATTCAATTCATATTTCACAAATTTAGAAAACTATCGTAGTGTATCAAAAATCCATCGCGATTAATTGCTAAATTAAATAATTCAGGTTGAAATTCAAGCAATCGAATCAAGTATTACTTGTCAATTTAGACGTTTTGTTTCAATAGCACATCAAAGTGGGCCGTAGTCTTGAAATACCCAATGTGAAAAAGGCTTTCCTTTCACTTCGAGAATTCTTAGATTACAAGGTGTGCGGGAATATTTGGTGGTATTATTTTGTTTTATTTATGAGTGTACAATTGAGAAATGTAATAATGAATTTTGGAGTAATACTTCTAGGTATTGTTCTATTTTGGATAGTTCTAAATTAATGTTTAATTTTTTGAAAACTGATAGCGTTTCAGGATGATCATATCAAATGTAGGATAAATATGCTTTCTAAAACAATAGTTGCCATATCTCGATGTATCAAGTCACCTGAAATAGTACCTTTTACACATGGTAAGTAATTTTGTTTTTCTTTTTATGGTCAACAATATGAACTGTAGTTCTAACGCTTGCAATTTTTGAAAACATGTATTGCTTTCGCAATTGTTCTTTCTTTATTTAAACTAGCAAAAGGATTTCTTTATTTGGTGAATTAAAAAAGAAGAGAAAAAATAGTATCTAAAATAGACTAAAATAGAATGCTTCCGTTTTCAAAATTTTTCTTGTATTTTTTTTTTCGTAAAATTTTAAAATTTGGGAAGGCAACTCCTAAATGAACAGTTACCGTCTTGTTTTTATTGGCTTAACAAAAAATCTGAATTACGGAATCAACTGTGTTAATGAATAAAAGAAAGACTTGTTGACGACGTAATTTTGCTTATGAAGTCATAGCACTTAACTGTTTAGATTCCTGTAAATTTTCTTCTATCCTGTGTTCATTCATTTATTCGTTTTACATTTGGTTGGCACTTCATAAATTATTACATTACTTTTTCTTCTAATGCTTGTGATTCATTCTATTATTTGATGTCTGAAAGAAATATTAGTGCATTATTCGATTAATTGATCACTTGTCAAATTTCTCATTTCAGGACTTGTAATGACATTAAGAAATTATGCTGCAATCAGTTCGAGGATTATTCCTGAAAAAGAGGATAGAAGTTTCATTGATTTGAATACCGAGAAACTATGCACTCATGTCTGTGTAAATTATCTTCTTGATGGTAGGCATTGAAATTTTCTATGTCATATTCATTATATATATATCCTCTGCAGTGCTGTACAACTTCACCAAAGCAATTAATATTCACACGCATTTTTCAGAGTAAAAAAATAAAGTTAGGGGAAAAGATCTATTTGTGCACTGAATTTAATAGTTATTAATTATAGGTGGTGAAGATCCGAAAATTTTGCCCGATTCTGAGTATCCACAGTGGCTTTTTGAACTGAGATTAGAAGGAAAAAAGCAATTAGAAGATTTGGATCCAGAAGTTGACGGCTGGCTTTATTGGCGAGAATATCGATTGGTCAGTACTTTATCTCTCTATAGATTTTTTATCTTTTGAAAATATATCTTCATTTACATAAAAGAGTTGCGAAAAGTTGCTTTTAGCGCCAATTACGTCAAATTCGTCGCATAGAAAAGCTAAAGCAAAAGTTTATCAATCTGCAAGAATCACCAACAATGCGGAAAAGTGGTTATCGAGGAAAGAAAGCTTCCTTATATGAAATTTGATCTTTACTTATGCTCGACTATGGTATTTGAACATTTTTTAGCATCAATCTAAGTGAAAAATATGGAATTGATTTCTTCCAGTTTCTTGGGTTATTTGTAGTTTTTAAATTGTAGTAACAGTCTGTTTTTAAATTGTAGTAACAAGTCTGGTAGTGTAAAGAATTTAACTACAATTAGAAGATGCATATGGTACACTGTACATGATGAATTTTGCTCCCAAGTTTAATTATCATTTCCCAAAGACATTCCTCTGACTGCAGATTTTTATAAATGTATCAGTAAGTTAACTAGTTAAAATAGTTCCTGTTCTTTCTGTTACCATCTGATAGTTTTTCCACCTGAATTGCAAGTTTTATTTAATGAATTCTGTCAATTATTGTAAATTGATATTTTTATTTTCGCTGAAGTTGACGCTTCAATTTTTTCATCTGCTAATTGGATTTCTTTATTCGTTATCAACAATTTGGTACTTATCATTTGTTTCAGATGTTTATGTGACAAAATTCTAAAAGTTTGTTGGTGTTAATTTCAACTGATAAAGAATGTTGTAATTTAAGTTTATTTAAGCTTTTTGCACTTATAAAATCATGTAGTGTTAATTTAGATTTATATTCTCAGAAAGCAAGCTGATTCAAAACCAGCTAAACAACTAAAACCAATTTCCTCAATAGTTTTAATTGAAGCACTAAGATGTTTCGTTGAAAAAAAACGGATCAGTTCCGTCACTCAGGTACAAAAATCTGGTCATAATCGGATCGTACATATGTCAAGAGGTTGTGTTTTATAAGGTTTTGTTTTAATTTTTAAGGAAAGATATGATTGCTCACAAAAGATCAAAAATCTCAGATTTAGGCTTTCAATCTCACATAAATTCATATTTCTTAATCTTAAAACTCGTTTAGTTTCCCAGAATAATTTAAATTATAGTCAAGATTTGAAATTGGAGATATGACAACACGTGGCATTTAACATTTCAACAAAGAAAACGGTTACAGTACAAAAGGATGCGATCTGTTTCTGTTTCAGCTATAGCATTTCACAACTTGCATTTATGTTTATACACTGCTTTCTTATGCAGCAGTATTCGTTAGCAACACGTCATCGTGTTCACACGCTTTCATCAAAGGATTGTAAATTACGAAAACCATATGGGCTCTTTTGTTTGACATATAGCGCATTCATTTGTTTAAATTATCCGATTTATCATCAATATTGTACTGTCATCATTGTCATCGCTTATCATTGTCATCATCATAAGCTAAATATTTCGTTTTTTTTGAATCAGATTACGGTATCCATATGTCTGTAATTTCGAGAATTTAGGAAATGGAGAGGAAAGATTACTGTAATTGGAATTTCTGAATGATAAGTTTTAATGACAGATGTCACTTTATTTGAAAAGAATATGTCAGATGATTAGATTAAAGTGTTAAAAAAAAAAAAATGACCAAGTTGAGGGAAAATAACATGAAAAGTGAGACATAAAGTGCCATAACCCGGATTTTCCATTTATTAATAATTTTATTTGCATCATAAACAATGATAATTCAGCAATGATCAATAATGAAAATAAAAATAATAATAATAATTACAATTATAAATAATAAGTGGTCCAATAGTGTTTTTATCTGGAAATAATTCTAACGAACAATAATAATCTAACCTTTGAAACATATCGATTTCAGCAGTTACAAAAGGATGTGATATGATATGATAAAATCTATACTTATATTGGATGTAATGTGATCTATTATATATTTAAGAATTATTAACAAGAAAGAAATTTAACATTAAACGGATAAGCCTGGATTAAAAGAAGTTTTAATTTTCTTCTTTTTTGGTACATTATCAATTCGAATCTAATAATTCTTATATTTTATATATTCAGAAAAGTACTTGGCAAAATATCTTTTACTATTTGATCTATGAAGAAAAGATGGTAGTAACATAAAGTTGTGAAAAACATACTAAATGAAAGTTAGTTATTTCATTCCACACATTTATACCAAAAATTAATGAAAGCATAAAAATAGTAATGAAATGTAAATTTTAATTCGTCAATTCCTCTTTCAACAAACCAAAGAATAAAAAGAAAGTAATGATGATCATAGGACTAGAAATAATTTTCATAACAGTGAGGATGTAAATCAACAAGGGTTACCCTCGAAGATCCTTATCATATCATCATCATCATTTAACAAACATGCCTTACCACATGTTTACAAAATGCAATTGAAAATGAATGATGTTTTCTTCTTTTGTTTTCGAAAAATGATGAATTATATCGAGATCAAGAATTGAGGTAAAATTAGAGTATTAAATTTTATTTGAAGAGAAAAACTTTTTTTGTAATCTTATTTCTTTTTTCTTTTATCTTTCATAATTTTAGTATTATGACTTTACCAGCAATTTGGTTTTAAGATTGAATGATAAAATTCGGTTCTTCTTTCCGTATTGAATGAAACGCATAGCTATTTTACTACATATGTACTAATCACCATAGAAAGGACAATACTTGGCTCTTTATTTCATAAATACAAATTCGAGAAGATATTTTGTTCTGTACACTGAAACTATTCGTTTTCATCTTCTGTTAAAACATGTAATATTAAGGAAATAAAAAAAAAAAAAAGCCGGCACAGAAATTTCTTGTTTAGAAGGAGAAAAATGTGGTTAAAAGACCTTTATGGCAGTCTTTTTGGCGGAGATTCCTTAACAAATATGTCTTTGATTGTTATCAGTAAATGAATGTGTATGTATGTGTGTGTTTGTGTGTGTGTGTGTGTGTGTGTGTGTGTGTGTGTGTGTGTGTGTGTGTGTGTGTGTGTGTGTGTGTGTGTGTGTGTGTGTGTGTGTGTGTGTGTGTGTGTGTGTGTGTGTGTGTGTGTGTGTGTGTGTGTGTGTGTGTGTGTGTGTGTGTGTGTGTGTGTGTGTGTGTGTGTGTGTGTGTCATCATCATATGTAAAAGTCATGCATTACCTCATTCTACCGATCAGTTACCGGTTGCTCGTCCTCTTTGTCGAGATCAGAACTCTTGCCTTCCCTCTCGATACCAACCAATAGTTTGCCAGTTCTCTCCCTAGCCACATCTCGGAATCTACCATTAATAGACCATGAACTTTGTCTCTTCTGGCCACAACTGTCCTATCGCTTCTTGTCATTTTGGTCTTCGCTCCATCAATACATACTGATTGACCTATATATCGAGATCCTTTCAACTTTGAGGTGAGATTTATGGCTCTGATATAAGTCTACCTACCTTCTTCTACATGGTGTTATCGCACCTCCAAAACAATACTCAACCACTGACACACACAGGCACCGATCAACATACCGCCACACACATCACTAGTCCGACATATACATATATAAACATACACATGTACACATACACACACACACACACATACACATACATACACATACGCATATAAATGTGATAGACAGATACATCGATAGGCTGTGACACCAATTATTTGATAATCATCAATGACAACACCCAGAAATACATACATTACTCCGATACTACCATCATTTACCGCGTTTCAGTATAATTTAAAAATAAATGGTTAGAATTTTGAAAAAAGAAAAAAGTTAACTTTTTAGATGATAAAGCAAAATGTTATAAACCAAATTCGAATCTAACTCATGATCATATCTATTCAATAAAAAATAAGATTAAAATTTAAAACATCATTTGCAGAGATTATCCCAACTGTCGGCAAAGTTTTAGCGCTTTATTTTGAAATGTTATAATTAGATATCATTTTATCCTCTCTTCCTTCTTTTTTTGTCTCATTTTTCTTTTCCTTTTTTTTTTTTTTTATGAAGGCGATAGGAATGAAATGCTGCATTCTAATGCCTTATCTTCTACACATCAGTCCATATTTTTTTTTATAACCATTTTTCTTCCTTCTAAGTAAAAAATTTTTAAAGTGTATTTTTCAAAAAAATTTCAATAGTTCAGACAAAACATTTAAACGATCATTATCAATCTGATAAAATCACTGCATGTGATATTTTACAATTGTAAGAATGTTAGAGCTTTTAATCCATATTAAGGATAAAAGTGTATAAAGTTTTGATTTAATAATGAATTGAAAAGAAACGGAACAGTAGAAAAGCGATAAAAGCTGCACTTATTATTAAATGATTGATACTGATGAAAAGTAAATGATAAAAAGTTTTTCTTCCTTCTAAATAACAAATTCAAAAGTAACAAATTTTTTTCTAAGTAACGGATTTTTTGTTTTGTAATTGATAAGTTAAATATAAAATAAAAGAAAGAAATGAGAGGATAAAAGATAAAAATAAAAATAAAATATGGAAATGTATCAAAAAAAAAAAAAACTTTCAGATAAGTATATGAAATAAGCATTACTGGTATAGCTTGAAGAATTATATTCAGATAAATCAAATATGTATTTCTGATTTAGTTCAAAGAAATATATTCAAATTTAGTTCAAAGAATTTAGTTCAAAGAAATATTATAATTGAAGTTAATCATTTATTTCTTATCAAATAACATGTTGATAATATGGTTGGAAATATGAAATTACTTAAATTATTAAAGATTCTGATTTACTTTAACAGAGCCCAGATGACATCTCTTTATGACTTCGGCTGCTTTATATGAATGTGTTGAAGTATCGCAAATTATTTCATACTTAACTTCTTCGTTATACTAAAATTTTTCTTTCCCATACTTTTGTGTAATCAGAATTCATGATTTTACTTCGCATATAGAAGACCTAAAATTGATTTTGTTTCGCATATAGAAGACCTAAAATTGTATTTTTTTCTCCTTTTTTGTACTACGAGATCAGATGAAATTAAAATATTTCAAAATTAGATAAGATTAAAGTTAGACGAAATCAAAAGTTAGAGTCAAAAGTTTGGTTTTTTTTCTCGTCTTTTTCAAATTTGAAATTTAAATTAGAATCAAGAAAAGAAACTTTGAAGCGTTTGTTTAATTTTAATACCAGCAACTTTTCTGTCATCGTATTACATGCACATATTGTTAGATATATATTTGCTTGACTGTACTACTTAATTAATTTATCAGTTTATTATCTTATTTGCTGATAATCTTATCACAATTAGCTTTTAACTGGAAAGTTTTGGTAATCTCAAAAAAATGCAAGAAAATTTTGATATTCTGTGATAAAAAATAAATAAAATCATTTAGCAAAACCAAAATAAAAAAAAATCATTTTCCTTCTTCCGGTCGCATCGACCGGAAGAAGGAAAACAGTAATTTAAAAATGAATATGTTCAGTGGGTTGTCACTGTCCATCATCAGTTGATTCATCATAGCTCAGTCATCCATCTCTTTTGCTAATGTTATCTGCTTACTTCTTTTCTTCTTCTTCCGTATAGTTGTCATCTCGAGACCACCTTGTTCTTCAGACACAATCTAATTTTTTTTCTCGATAATATAAAAAATATTCTAATTCAGTTTAGTTTAGTTTAGTCATAGCGTAAAATTGCTATTGTTGTAGGAACATAAAATTGTTATTGTTATAGGAACATAACAAAACACACGTACACACGCACATACGTACGTATATCAGACATACACGTTTATGCTTATATAAAATTTCCGATTAGCAACGACACTGATAGAATGATTCCATCACTTCATACGTTGACATTAATATCTGTAATAATGTGTTTTATTAATTGCATGCATAAATGATTAAAGAGAAGTGATTGATCAAATCGATTGATTCCTGATAGCCTAAAAGAGATGATTGGATTGTGGAAAGATAACGGATATCAACAAACTTATCACTCATGTCAATTACGGAAGGAAGAAGTGAAAAGAGGAAAGAGGAAGGCGGTAGCGGAGCAGCAAGATGGATACAGACGACGGCAAGATAGCGCTGATGATAATAGTGGTAGTATGGGCGGAGCTTTGATCTCACCCGCTATTGTTGCCGCTGCCCGATATGCGGTCATGGTTGCGGCTGCCATCCGACAGCAAATGCGGTGTTGTATGCCCGCGGTGGTGGATAATCAGCTTCAGAAATTCGGTATGTTTATAATATTGAATGTTGCTACGGTAAACCCAAGTTGACTGCTTGGTAATCGTTCGTTCCGGAACATAAATAAATAAAATATTTGAAAATATGGATACGGTAGCATTGACCCTTCATATTGTTTAAATAATAAAAGCAACAGTTATGGCTACGGTTATCATTATGGCATGATAAAAGATAAATTCTTGTTTTACTGAATTTAATCACAATATTACAATTTTACAACTATAAAAATATTGCTCTTGTTTACGGTTATCAGTTTATCAATCCATGCTATTTCTGTTTTAAACTTCACTCATATCATACCGTTACTTATTCTAAATCATATGTCTGATTACAAAGTTATCTCAATTATTACTAATCCAATTATGAATAATTTAACTTTTGAATTTGTTGAAAATTTGAACTGAAAGTTTTATAATCTAGTAGGTAGGATTAAATATTCATTCATATTCCTCTAGAAAACGATCCAGAAATCAGGCAGCTTGTTGGTCCATCACAAATAGCTTTTTCCGGATTGCCGCATGCACCACCGGTGGAACGACGCAACGCATTATTGCAAAGCTGTACTGATCAGCAGCAACCTCGTTTGCCTATCGTTTGTTTTTTTTTTTCTTTTTTTGTTAAGTAAATACAATATTCAATGTGATATTATTTTTATTTGAATTGTTCGTTTGTTTTTCATTATTTCTAGAAATTTCGAATTGACTTAAAATTGAAATTAATTTGTTATCTTATATTTTATTTATTATATTTTTCTGTTTGTTAAATCTTCTAGCAAACGATGTCACATTCTTTACAGCAAAATTTGATCAAATTTCTAATCTAACTATCAAACTAAAATTTATCTAAATCTTGGCATAGGATGATAATTCATTAAGTTTGGCCAAATAAACCAAAAGAAACTGTCCAAAAAAATTTTTTTTTTTTTTTTGTAAATTTATACTTTAAATGTTGAAATAATTTCTGTCTCTTTTAATAACACAGAAGTCTTTTTAATTTTGTTTTGAAACAAATTTTTGTAAATTCAAAATTTATTTTTCAAATATGATTACTATTAATTTTTCTTTTTTTTTTTCAAAAAAATTAAAATTTTCCCTTTTTTTTTTTTCTAGTGCAAAGTGCATTTTTAGATAATATTAGAAATAGAAAGAGAAAAAAATAAAAAGTGTAAATAGCAACCGCAAAAATGTCATTTTTGTTCAAATAATACAAATTTTTATTTGAAAGATAAGAATACATAGTATTGTATAGTGTGTTGATAGAGAAAGTAAAAAATAAAATAATCGAATAGAAAGAAAGGTAAATGTAAAATTTTTCTCTTCATTTGTGTATTTTTGAGGTTTGTTTTTTTTTTTTTTTTTTTCTGTCCTCATTTTTTCTCCTTTCTCTCTCATTTATATATTTTTTTTTTTTTTTAAGTAAATTGAAAAAGTTTCAAATTACCAAACTAACTACTTTTCATTCATTTTGCAATACCACATTAAAACTTGTTGTATTTGTTTTTGTAAAAATAACTTCTTATTTGTAAATGTTTAAATTTTAAAATATTAAAAGCAAGAAAAAAATGTAAATTTTTTGTGAACTCTTTTTTTTTTGGAAAATATGAAGTTTGTGAAAAATTTTTGAGTGAATAGGATTTTTTTTTTTCGGAAAATTTTTGTTTAGTTTAGAGGAAGAAGTAATCTCAATGATTATTGATTTTTACTGAAATTAAGAAATTTAATTTTAACTATATTTATATGATTAATAAATGAATGATTTGCTGTTACTATCGATTTGTTAACTTTTTTTTTTTTTTTCAACTTATATTTAACACTAATTAGCACTAGCTATTATCTTTTAACGGTTTTCTAATTAATTTTAAAAATTGAATAGAATTTAAATTCAAATCATGCATGACTTTTTTTTTTTTCAGACATTCACACAGTTTGGCTATAATAGTGATTTTCCCTTATCTTCTTGTACAATTGGCCAGGAGGAGGTAAAATAGTTTTTTTTTATTTATAATTAAATTTTGAATATTAAAAAGTTTGACATTGTATTCTGAAATATTCTATGCATAGATAGGAATATTTGTTGAAATATTTAACTTTTCTATTCAAAAATATAAAACAAACGTATAATAAAATATCATGTGAAAGTTTCATTTGTTATTTTAATTTAAAAATTTGTTTATTTTTTTAATTTTATCAATGAATGAAAGTAATATAACTGTTTTAATTCAATTTGTCTTACATTTGAATAAATTAGAATATTGAAATTCGAGAAAAAAAAAAAAAACTATAAATGAATGAGAATTTACAGATAACTTTTGAAAGTCGATTCATCCTGAATGGTGTTTGCGTAATTTTACGTGGTATTCTGAATCGTGAATTGATGACCGGTTCAAGTACATTACAATTTGATGAACAAAAAGCTGCTGAAGAGGAGCTTCATCGACAACAAGCAATGCAACAATATGGTGATCGAATACAGGCTATTCGGCAGAGGTTTAATTTGCCGCAAAGTTGAATTAACTGCAAGTAGGAGAAAAAAAAAGAAAAAATGAATCGTATGTTCTTAAAATTTAATTGTTATCATTTTACAGATCTCCTCAGGTTTATGCTTTTTTTTTTGTCTTCTTGATGTTATCATCATTTTAATACTTTCTTACTTGTTCTCAGTATGTATTAAATGTTCATTTCTTAGAATAATGAAATTTATTTTAGCTAATAATGTAAATTTATTTATCTTAATTATATCTTTTAACTGCACTGGTTAGAAATTAGATTTTAGTTAGGTAATAGTAATTGTTAAATTAAAATATGATCTCTTGTGATTATTAATTAGATTAATAAGAAATTAATGATCAAATTTTGATTCAAATTAAAACATAATTCTTTTATACTTTCAATGATAAACAAAATGCTTAAACTAAATGAAATAAAACAGTTAATGAATAGCTAAAATTTAAAGCATTTCATAATTTTCATAAATAACTTTGTGAAATTTATATGAAAAATATGAATGAGTAGAAAAAAAAAGAAAGAAAAAAAAGAATCAATCAATGAATTGTATTCTTAAAGCACATAGCATTAGTTTTATTTTCCTTTTTTTTTTTTTGTTTTACTTTTTCAATTCACTTAAAATTATTAAATTAATTTATTCATGCATTTTCTGCCAACTTTTATTTTGTATATTTATTTTTTGTCTTCTAATTTAGCTCAGGGATTTTGCTTTTTTCTTTCTTTGCTTTGTTCATATTATTATCACTTATTTGTCTTCAAAAAATTCATCTCTAAACAGTATTAATCTTTGATTTGTTATTTTTTAATATATTTCTAATTTTTTTTACTGTATGTGTGCCTTCCATTTCACATTTGATTCCTTTTTTTTTTTTCTCGTTTCTTTTAAATTATCGCTTTAAACGGTGCATCTATTTGTTGTAATATTATTGCTTAATCAAATTTTGATCATTTTGAAACTAATAAAATAAGTTTCAAATTTGCAACTAAAAAAAAAGAGAAAATCTTTTTTTTTTTTTTCTTCCAACTGTAAAATTCTTCCCTTGATATTTTCAAGAAAGAAAAAAAAAGAGAAGTTAAAATTATCAAATTGATAATGTCGCAATTTTTTTTTTTTTCATTCTTTTCTCAAATTTTGAAATTAAACCAATATGAATATGAAAATAGAAAGAAATGACAGATGATGAAAAGTTTGAAATGAGTAGCACAGAGTAACATTTCTATAAAATTTACATTTTAATTCTAATGATGATGATGATGATAATGATAATGATGATGATGATGATGGACAGTGAAATGTTGCAATTTTAAGAAATACTTGCTGAACAATCAATCCAAACATCAGTCAGCTGATCAGTTGATTGCTTACTATTATTGCTGCTATTATCACACATACACACACACCGAGATTGATATCAGTAAGTTTATCAATGACTAATGATAGAGAGAGGGGTGAGAAGTTTTGAAGATGAATGCAAATTAATGAGTATTATTTAACTGGAAAACTACGACATTTAGATTTTGTTAATGTTATAAAGATTATTATCATTATTATGATAAGATTGTTGTTATCATTATTGTTAGCAAATAAATTTTTATTTGCTAATGACATGCAAATCCTTTAAGTCTGCTAAAATTAATTTTCACTTTTTTTTTTTTTTTTTTTTCAAAATATTATAATCATTTCGAGGAAAAAGAAAGAAAATATTCGCAATTATTTGATTATAATTTCAAATAAATTACCTATTAGTTTACTCGTTAATAATTTCAAATTTACGTTTTTATCAAATTTTTTGATTTTTGTTAAGTTTTTTGATGATCAATAATTTAATTATTTTTTGTAGTAATTATCACATAATTCATGCAATATGCCTTATGTCAAGAATTGACAAAAATTAACAAAAACTCTATGCTGCTCAGCGTCTAATTTCTTCTTCTTTTTTTAGATATTAGTTTTATTAAAAAGTTTACTTTTACTTTTAATTCATTCCTTTATTGCAATAATAAACTTTTTATCTTTTTTTTTTTTTTCGTTTATGACAAAATTTGTTGTATTTGCTAGAATTAGCTAATTTACTAATAAATTTACTCTTTTGTAGCCAAGGGTCAATTTTAAATAGGTCAAAAATTTGTTTACTTTGCACAAATTGTTACTACATTTCCATAACGGTAAATAATTACGTTACTTTTGGTTGTATATTTGCAAAAGTATGATATGTTTTATATAAATTAAAGTTTTTTTATGCAAATATTTTCTTTCTAAAATTTATTGTTCAGAGAAGTAACAATGATATATTTTTTGGTTTTCGAAGACAAAAAAAAGAAACAGAAATGTGAATATTTATGTTTTTATAGTTTTTAAATAAAAGAAAAACCACTTACGTCTGCCTTATCTGTTATCAGTTGACCATTATTATTAATATCATGATAATCTGAATGATAATAATGATTATAATCTTCAACATTTCTATTGTCATCTCCTTATAATTATATTATTTAATTATCATATCAGATTTGTAAAAAATCTGATAAATTTAGAAACTTTTAGGAATTTAGTTTTTTTTCTTTTGCTGTGTAATTTGTAAAAAATTTGCATAAAGGAATTAAAAAAATTTCTGGATAAATTTTGCAACAAATTTTAATTCTACAATTTAGCACATTTTTTGATCATTGAAAAAAATTAAAAGATTTAGTAAAAATACTGGAATTAAAAAGTCATTTCAATCTACTTTTTGTGATTTCACTCAAATTTATTTGGCACTAATTAAAAGTGCTCAGTAAATTTTAAATAATTAACGATAGAATGTTGAAGTATCAAAGCATTTAATTGGAATTGCTAAAAGCAATCATTATTTAAGAATTTTAAACAATGAAAGATCAATGAAATCAGATAAATCAATGCATAGATCAATTTATTGAAGAGAAAGAGGGTCAAGATTGTCTCGTTTAAAAGGTCATTTATTGATTTATCATTATCAGTAGAGAGTTCATGCCCATTCCTATTCCATTTCTTATTTTATTCTTCAAATTTCAGATAAAGATGCAAAATGTCCTTAATAATATATAAAGTAAACATTAAAATTAGCAATAACAATTATCAAAAAGGAAAAAAAAAAAAAAAACAGACAGAAAACAATTTTTGAATATTAATGGATAATAAATAATATCACAGATCATCATGAATAATTTTATGAAATTTTGGATATTTATAAGGCCAATCAATACATTTCACTTCAGGCGACTGATAATTCATTTCTTCTAGGCCAATGTCATATAGATTATAACGAACTGTCCTTGGGTCAGCTTTAATTTCATGCACCACTTGCATAAAACAATTCTGCAATCTTTCTTTTCTCATTTTTTTTAAAAAAAAAAGATTTTTAAAAATTTTTTTATAATTTTATGAAATTTATCATTTCTATTTTATTGTTTTTATTTTTATTTTTTTTTGTTACATTATTTAGGTAGCTAAATTGAATTAGAAAAAATTGAATTAGAATTACTTAAAGATTGATATACTATCAATTATAGAACATATATGAACTTTACTTAAAAGAAGAGAAAAATTATGAATTTTATCTCTAAAAAAATTTTTTTAAACAATCTTATATAATTGCTATAACATACGATCATATAATTTTGTTTTTAAATTATTTAAATGATCAAAACTTTTTTTTTGGTAATTGTTGTATATTTCATTTAAAAGAAAAAGTTACTCAATTTAATATGATAATTTATTTTATTTAAAAAAAAAAAAAATTTTATAGATAAGTTTATCCAATTTTGTAATCAAGACAGATTAATATGTTATCATCAAAATTTCTTAACTCTACTTTATGTTTCAGTTATTGTTTTTTTTTTTTTTTGTTTAATTTATTCTCATTAAACAATGTATCAAATTTTTGTACTAAAAACAAATTTTATATTAAACTAAAAAATGAAAAAAAAAAAAAAAGTAATATCGAAATTAACTTTTTGCATATCTCGTTTATCATCAGGTATGCAATGATGAGTAATATTTAAATATATTTTATGATCCATAGCATATCTAGTTCCGTGTATATAAAATTCACCGTTACGTCTGCTCAGGAAATATACGCTCGTGCGTAAAATACCTTTTTCCGTATTACCGTATTTTATATCTTTAAAATGAATACAAATTCAGATAATTTAATTTTTTGCTCAAAAAATTTTTAAAACTATCATTGTTATGCTTATTAATCGTTTTTCGTAATAAATTTTCAAATTTTTTAAAATAATTAAAACAAAAGTTGTTGGTTTTTTTTTTTTGCGTTTTTTTTTTTCACGTAACGAAATTTCAAATATAATCACAAAGCCTTTTCAGATTAAATAACTGAAATCTTTTAGATTACACAGAATTTGTTGATTAAAAATCAATTATGATAAGATAAAACTATTTAAAATTTTTTTTTTAACAATCTAAATTTAAAATAATCATTTAAAAATTTAAAATACTAAAAAAAACACTGAGTAAGCTATAATAATGTTTTAGGTATTATTTGTTTGTCAAAAATTAGATCAGTGTCCAATTAAGTGATATTATGAGCCCTAAACGAGAGTGATAGATGATTGATTATACTGATAAGAAGAGTTATTTATAGAAATCAAAGAGGATAGATAGAAAATAACAGAAATTAATTTGGTAATTTCAAGATGTTACCTGGAAAGTGTAAATAAAAAGTGATTGCAAAGTTTTTTTGAAACTTAAAATTTTACTTCTTAAAATAAAACATATATTTAAGTAAACTGAAATTAAAAATTTACATTTAACTTCTTCAAATATATTAAGCAGTACTGCATAAGCTCCTTTATTACCACACATCATTCTTCCTTTCACAACAATTCGATATGGCGTTCTTGTTATTTCAGTTGCGCAATTATTTCGTGTCACCAATATTGTCAATGTTACTATCATTAATTCCACTGGAACATAAGAATGCCTCATGAGTTTATCTAAAATTTTATTATATATGAATTATAATCTTTACTGAGCTTTTTATCTTCTTTAAATAATTAAAATAGTATTTTAAATTAAAGATTTATGATAAAATTTGAAATCGCAAATTTGAAAATTTTGAAATGTACATTTATACCTAACAGTACACTTCTGATACTGATAACTTGTAACTGACAATATAATTGTGATATTGATAAGCGAATGATACTATATTTAAAATGCTGAGCAGAAAATTATTAAATTAAAATTAATAAACCAAATCAACCAAACAGTTATATTCTTAAAATATCAAATCACCTTTGTATCACTTGCTATGAAGGATAAGACTGATAAGTGATATTTGGAAAGACGAAAATCATTTTAATCAAATTTGTCCGCATGCAAATTTCTTATCATCAGTAAAATATATATTAACAGCATTTTTTTTTTCGTTTTATTTATCGTTATGATGCAAAATTATTATTAAAATATTACAGCACAATCATCTATTTATTAAGTAAAAAAAAAAATAAATAAATAATCAAAATTTGTTTATCACTGACAGCTTATCATTATTCTTTTATTTAAGATCATTTTTGTAGCATGTTATTATGATCTTTTTAGAACAAAAAAATGATCACAAATGGATAACTGATAACTGTTAGTGATAACCATTAACAAGTATTTATGATTATAGTTATCTTAATTAATCACAATGTTAAATGATTGTTATGATAGTTGTGTTTATGATTATTGTTATCTTATTTAATCACAATATTTACGATTATTGTTACCTTAATTAATCACAATTCCAAAGATTTTCAGCCAAATGTTTGAAAAAGTTATAAATCAAATTACTGTTCTAACTATTATTTCGCCTTTATTTGTAAATTGAATTTGATATTTAATATTAAAATGTAAGTAAAACGACAACAGTGCAACTTTCACACATTAAAAATATCACAATTTAGTTTCGAAAAAATGTCAAGCAAGTTGAGATTGAGATAAGTTGACAATTAATAATTTGCAAATATTGGTGAAATCATTTTCTCTTTTCTTTCATTTCGTTTCTTTTTTTTTGTTTGTTTGTTCACCTTTCATTAAAGGTAACTTTTTTCATTTCCTATTTTTTTTTCTCTTTTCTTTTTTTTCGTGCATTTATTGACGATATTTTCTACGATAATATTTCAATGAGATGTAATTTAATATTTTATCGATGTCAATTTGATTAGTAAAATTGAAAAAATTTACTTTTCTATCCTTATCCTATCGTTTTCTCCTTTTGCTGATCATTCATTTTTTAAATAATAAAATGAATTTGTCACATATATTTTTTATGACTTAGCACTTGAATACATTGAATGTTTGAACAATTTTATTGTCATTTAGTAATTGTTTTGATTTCAAAAGAAAAAAAAAATTAATTAGTTACACAAATTTTAGAATTGAAATTGTTAATGAAACTGTCGTATTAAATGATTTCTTTTAAATTTTTTCAAGAATGATAAATTGTCAAAAAAGCCAATTTTAGTACATTTACTCTTCGTAACTATTGAAATAGTTGAACAGACCGAGTATAACTCTTATTTACTTAATCATCAAACCACACCTATATTAATTGGATTGGAATGTTGATAGTTGACAGTTAAATTAAACAGTTTAAAATTCGTTCGAAAAAAAATGCAAACAACAGAATGTATTAGAAAATCAAAAATTAATCACTTCTGATCTAATAATATTTAGATTAATTAAGTCAAAAATTAAAAGGAAAACAAATTAATAGGTCGATGAGAATGGTATTTTTATATGAATGATATCAGAAATCAAAACACTAATATGAATTGATTATAAGAAATGAAAATAGTGAATTAAGGTGGAACTGTCTAATTTCATTAAATGATCAAATTATAATATTTATTTTATACATGATTGTATAAATCAGTTATCATTGATGATGATAAAAAGTTTTACCGAACTGTTTGCTATGTTAAAAAAAAGTCATCCATTCCCGTTAGTCAAATTTAACTTGCATTTGAAAATATTTTTGAAATATTTATATATGAATTGTTCATGTCAATACTTATACGTATCACTGTAATCAATTATCTGATAATTTAATAACTAAGTTACACCTATATTAAAAATCAATTCAAAGCATGTATATAATAAAAATTAAAAAATTTTTTTAAAAATTAACTACTTACTATTCATCGTTCATGATTACTCTGAATAACAAAAAGAAAAAATAATTGTGAAAAAATGGATTTGTTAAATTATTAACTCGACACAAACTTTTGTTTTTATTTTATTTTATTTTTTTATTTTTTGAAAAAAAAAAATGAGAGAAAAGCAGCAATTTCTTGTTGTAATATTCAAAAATGAAAATCAAAAATTCAATTCTTGTAACTCTCAATTAAAAAAATTTCAAACCAAACAAGTAATTTCAACAAAATAAAAAATGTTATCATATTAATTTCAAATCAATTTTATTTCATCATTTGCTCTCTTATCTTTTGTCATTTAAATGATGTAGAAAAAAAAAAACATTTCATAGAAATTGTTAATTAAAGAATTAATTAAAAAATTGATTTGTTTACCATCGAATTTTCAAATTTAAAAATTTTTCAATGACACAATATCATTATAAAACCTTTTAGAACGAATGAGTAATGTTGAGAAATTTAGGGCAACGCTAATGTATATTTTTAATTGTCAAAAAAACTTAAAAAAATGTGTTTGAATGTTTCAAAAAAAAAAAAAAAAAAATAGAAATAAAAATAAAGCACTTCTATTTCGTTTTTTAATTTTTTAAAAATAATATTGAATTTACCAAAAGAAACTCTAAGATTTGAGAAAAAATAATTGAAAAAGTATAAATACTTCAACTTCTGTATATTCATTTTTAATTTAACTAATCAGTTCAATCTGACTAATTGATTTTTCATTGAAAAATCATGAGTAATTTAATTTTAATACTTCAAACATATTACTTAATTTCAAACACATTACTTTCACATTAAAGTAATTTTTCATACCGAATGACCTTATATTTGCATATTTACATGGTTTATGTTCAACAAATCGATCCTGAAATTGAAATTTGCATTTGTATCAGTTATAAAATAAAGTCGCTATTACTTAGAAGTGAATATAAAATAGACTTTGAATTTTGATAAATCTATTTGACTACGTTTTACAAAAAAAAAAAAACTGAAATATAATTCCAATTGGTTTATCAAATTACAATTTGAACTAATAATCAAATTTTGTGAATTTACTCAGTTATTATGAGAAGTACAAAAGAAAAATATTGACGCATTTCATTTCATTCATATCGCTTTTGTAATAATTCAACCAATCAATAAAAAAAAGTAATCGTTTCAAAATTTTCATTTTCATTTTGATTAATAGCACAAAACACACATTATACCTTATTTCTAGTAAATATTATGCAAATTTTCTTCAGCAATTGTTGATCTGCTTCAACTTTAAGGATTAGAACATACTCAGAGTATAGCTGATAGGGACTTTTATAGCTTGGCTCCATCTTCAATCCAGTAATTAAGCCTAAATAAATAAACAGTTTTGTTAGACGTAAAGATTTTGCGCTTTGATCTCAAATCAAAATTGTTCCATCAAAAATTATAATTTTAATTAATGGAAAAAGTAATCTGACATCCGATACGGAAGAAAAAGAACAAGTTTATTAAAGTAGTAATTTTGTTGCACTTTTTTTTTTCGAGAAAAATCGTTAAATTTTAAGGAACCATTTTCCTCTGTCATTTTATTTTCTTTATCGTACAAATGCGTGTCGTCACCGAACCGACGTAAAATACGTTGAACAATTGGAACACTTTCTTTTGCGACATGCGCTTTGTCTAATTATTATTGGAATAGAATTTATAATAAATAAATATATATATTCTATATTTATTTGCTCTATTTGATCAATCGTATAAATTTCTGGAAAGTAAAAGATCAATTTCAGATCTTTTACTCTCTTTAATCCATTACCTATACGAATTACAATCGCTGTAGAAGCAAACGAATAACTTTCTTAAATCTTTCCTTGCCTTACTTTATCAATTGTGATAATTCTTTTCACAAAAATTTCATTTCCTACGATTGATAGCTACGGCTAAGATGAATTTCATACATCCCATTTAAATTTAAATCTATTTCATAAGTATTCATGAAGTATCCATAAAAATAGAAGAGTAACTCTGTTATGGTTATGGTTAGTAATGGTATTGGGATTTATACCAATGAACCAACTTAATTACTTTACAGATAAACATATTATCTCACAATGGAATGTTTATTTTCCGAAAACTACAAATTATATTTGCAGGAATTTTACGTTACTTATTATGCTGCTATTCGTTATCACTAAACATCTGATTACTTTAACAATACTGTAAGTTTAAAGTATTTGCTGTTTTCATATGACTCATTTAATATTTGCTAATAATATCTATTAATATGTGACTTCTTTTTCAGCACAATATTATTCATTGATGAAATAGACGCGCAGAATTTAGTCCGAGACTCGTTTAATCGAAATATTTTAGGTCGTAACGTAAGTTATATACTTATCATTAGATAATGTTTAATGTGCTGTAGTGTAGCAGAAATTCAGTATGCTATCAAATGTTATTGCTGTTCAGAGCATCAATTTAAATTTTTAAATTTCAGTCACTGAATAATAATGCTAACGTAGGAGCTGGACCCGGTGCTCCTCCAGCTAACCCAGCTAATCCAGCTAATCAAGCTAATCAAGCTCAACAGAATTCTTTTCCGTGGCAAACTGCGCTTGGTGCTGGTCTCGGTTTTCTTGCAGGAAGTTGGTTAGGCAGAGGCTCATCTTCATCATATCCATATGGTTACTACGTTTATCCGTATTATCCGTACAGTTATAATTACTATCATTATCCCTATTACTATTATTATGGTTAACTATTTTACAACCGCTTTTGTACAAACTTCAAATTTTCAGAAATTGTGCAATTTCCGTTTGGCATTTTGTTATTTAGATAAAAGTCATAGCTGTTATGAAGGTTGTGAATTAAATAAATTTTAAAAATGTATTCGTAGTCTAAGCACTATTTTTGAATAATTCACTGAATTCGTCTGAAGTTCCTTATCATATACTATTGTGAGAATTCATCTCGTTCAAAAATCTGCCGAATTGTCTCGATCTCTGGAATTATTAAAATGGAATAATCCACCAATGGAATACTCAAAGTAATTAGGAAATTACAGATTGAAGTGAATTAACAAAAGTAAATGACTATATTTGTGTTTGGCTAGTTTTAATGCTAATTACCCATTAAAATGATTATACTATTCGAATTACTGAAGAATAAAAAAGCAAATACTTTCAAATATTCAAGAATTACTCCAAGTTTTCATTTTCAGAATATATTCCGTAAAATCGTAAAATACTAGCTGAAAATATGAGAAAATGCATGCTTACAGCGGAATAAGACTTTAAAACTTAATAGCATTTCACTTTATAACTTATACTTTTATGGAAAGCCATTGCTGGCCTATTCTATAACGCTAATTAGCTTGATTTGCTATCATAAGCATTATTTCTTCTAATTAAAATAAATTTAATTAATATTCAATCAGAAAGTGAAAAAATAATAGAGATGTTAGAAGGATGTAGTGATTGCTGAAGTATTTATTTATGGAAAAAATTTAAAAAAGAAAAGTCATTTCACTGAATGAAAATTCGTTAACTGCAAAATATTCTGATCCTTTCCATACTGAAATTCAAAAATTGATTGCTGTAATTAAAGTAAATGGGAAAAGCTGTTTCAAGATGAATGAAAATTCAAAAAGGAAAGAAGGAATATTAGCTAAAACAAAGTTTTACGTCGACTTCCGTTGAAATACGATGTGTAATACTACTGTTTTCTTTCAATCAAAGAATTGGAATTAGAATAAATCAGAGCTATGGTTGATCAGATTTTGACAGTTATTCTAGCTGTAGAAGTCGAGCATCAATCAATCATTTTATAATTTATTTGATTGAAATAAATCAGTACAATAATATAATAAAGCTTTATCATATATTCTTACTTTTCCACTTATTTCTTGAATAATGACCGAACCCATTCCTTTGTTATATTCCATTTTTTTGAAACAATGATTTCTTTATCTAAACCTCAAATAGTAAATATACATCTGTCTTCATTGTAAATGTTAATCTGCTAAGCCAAGCCCACTCCTCTAGCCCAAAAAATCTTCTCTAATCAGTTAATAAGAAAGAAAGGATCGGTGGCAGTCTTCTCTTCCTCCTCCTCAACAGTGCCATTTATTCCTTCGCAGTTTCAATTATTCGACTGTATATTGTATCGATTCACATCTATAAGGAAAATAAATCATATCTGGGTCGATCTCGCTAGCAGATAAGAAGCAAAAGATTCAGTTCAAGTTCTACAAACTTAAAGTAAGTCAAGTGAACTTAACTAATCTAAATCAACTACTTTTCTGACCAAAAAGTTAATTCAAATTCACAACAATCAGTATAATAAAATAATTGTTTTAATTTTTTAATTTTTGTTGACACATTAATTTTATTTTGATTAATGGCACAAAGTAGACATTATTCTTCATTTCTCTTAAATACAAAAAAAAAAAAATTCTCGGCAATTACTCATCTCTTTGAACTCTGATCATTGGCATACAGCTCAAAGTATAGCTGACAAGGACTTTTATAACTTGGCTCCATCTTTAATTCAATAATCAAGCCTAAACCAATAAACAGTTTTGCTAGACAATAAGACTTTGCGCTTTGATCTCTGAGCAATGACATTTTGCTCTTTCAAAATTCTGCTGTTAAAAGTCATAATTTTGATTAAAGAAAAAAGTAAAAATCCAAAAAACGTGGAAGTGAAGGAACAAGTTTAACCAAAGTAGTGATTTTGTCTTATTTTTTTTTTCGAAAAAAAAATCGTTAAATTTTAGAGAACTGTTTGCTTCTGTCACTTTATTTCTTCTCTCGCATCAAGTGCATGTCGCATGTCGTCCTTGAAACGTCGTAAAATATTTGAACAATTGGAACATTTTCTTTTGTGATATATGCTTTATCCTAATTACTATTGGAAGAGCATTAATAATAAATATATATATTTTATATTTATTTGCTCTATTTGATCAATCGTATAAATTTCTGGAAATTAAAAGATCGTTTTCAGATCTTTTACTCTCTTTAATCCATTACCTATACGAATTACAATCGTTGTAGAAGCAAACGAATAACTTTCTTAAATCTTTCCTTGCCTTACTTTATCAATTGTGATAATTCTTTTCACAAAAATTTCATTTCCTACGATTGATAGATACGGTTAAGATGAATTTCATACATCCCATTTAAATTTAAATCTATTTCATAAGTATTCATGAAGTATCCATAAAAATAGAAGAGTAACTCTGTTATGGTTAGTAATGGTATTGGGATTTATACCAATGAACCAACTTAATTACTTTACAGATAAACATTTTCCGAAAACTACAAATCTTGTGAATGTTTATTAGCTCTATACGCTCAACCGTATTAATTTCTGGAAACTAAAAGTGTAAATTTGTTTACGTTTGTTTAACAATCAAAACAATAGTTTTTGATTAATTTTTTTACTCCATCGAAAAGAATTTGCTTTAAATCTTTTATTGATTGATAATATTTTATTGTAAATTTTTTTGTTCACAAATCTATTTGGTTTGAGTGTTCCATGAACAATAAAATTATTTAAGAAACTAATAGCTGTAAATTAATTAGTATTTTCTCAAATCTACATATATATTCTTTAAATTGTTTACACTGTTTCATATTATTATGGCTGGATGTGTAACTTATATTTTTACAGTGAAGGAAATGTTAAACTTTAAAACAAGAGAAGGAATGAAATTTGAAAAATTGAGTAGATGTGAAATAAATAGTCAATTTCTTTTTGCATTTGACAGAAAAATACTGTGTATTAGAGGTATGAAAAAAAAAAGAAAAAAAAAAACTTGCAAAAATATTTAAGGACATTTTCTTAGTTTATTATATTCATGAGAAAACACAATCGTAAAGAAATTATTTCGAAGTAACTGGCTAAGATCTCAGGTTTGAAAAAAAAAAAAAAAAAAAAGATTGCTTAATCAATTTGACCGATTGTGATAACGAATTTTCTCATCAGTGTTTTACCCATATCTTCTTAAATTATCTTTTAAATCTTTCTTGGATATCATTTTTGTGATTGTTGAATAAAATGTCGAACAGTTATTAACCAATAGATATTTCCTAATAATATAATTAATGTAACTGAAATTGAATTGTTTACTAACTATTTAACAGTGTACTACTAGAATTTTCCAACGACCTTTGTTTATAAAAGTGCAATTTAAGTGCAAAATTTATGGTAATTAAATAAATTTGTAAATTTCAAAATTCCATTTCAAATGCATAAAGGATCTTTTGTTCTATTCTGAATATTTTTTTTTATTGTTTTATTCTCCCACTACGAATACTGATTTGATATTTTCTTCAACTCTTCATGAACTGAGATTTGAAATTTTTGAGTTTTACAATGAAATAGAATTTGATCATTTGATGAAAGGATCCCTTAGATATCAACATTTTATTCAGCCATTACTCAATGTTGCCATAAAATGAATCATCCATGATCCATGATCTGTTTAGGTCAAAATATTACGAGAAAGCCAAGAAGAAGAAGAAAGATGTGAAATCAATATAACAATTAATTATTACTATATCTCTTTTTCAACAGTTAGCTAGATTAAGCACATATCACTAAGCTTAGCTACTGTACTGACAGAACGATTGCATATTTTCCTAATTTCAGGAATTCATAGTGAAATGTTTCTTTTCCGGAAAGAAAGTTTGAGTAGTGTTGTTTTACTTTCTTAGTTAAACATATGTCGTATTATTGTAATTGAATCTTTCGCACTTTCAAATTAAATTTGTAAACATACAAAATTAATCACACAATTACTTTCTTAACTTGCTGTTTTCAGTCGTAATTTTTTTTTTCTATTTCCTTAGATGATGAAAATTCAGAAACAGAAGTAATCAGATTCCTTTAGTTAATGAATCGATGATACTGATATGATGAAAATATATGTTGTATTTTAAATATGGATTCGTTTCCTGAAAGTTTACTGAAAATTCGTTACAACAAAGTGTAAAGTGAAAAACAAGTTTCGTACTAAAGTTTAGTGCTAATTCTTGTCAAGCAAGTTTCCTACAACGAGAATGCAATAATGATGTAAGCCTTATTGTAATAGCAACAGTTGCATATTAACAATTATATTTGCAGGAATTTTCGATTATTTGCTATGTTGCCATTCGTTATCATCAGATATTTGATTGCTCTAACAATACCGTAAGTTATTGTATTTCATAATAAAAGTTAAACCATTTGCTGTTATCATATGATTAAATCAGTTTATTTACCTGCTAATGTATGTCTTTTTTTTTAGCATAATGCTACTATCATTTGACGAAACGAATGCACAGTTACTCAATTTAAACTTTTTGTCATTTAATAACAACAGAGCAGGCGACAACGTAAGTTTCACATCTCTGATCTTAATGAAAAATCACATACTAATGTGATGCACTAAGTAATAATTACTTATACAAGAGTTAAAATTCTAATTTGAATTTCAGTCATTGAACGGTAATGGTAACGCAGGTGCTAGACCCGGTGCTGCTCCAGCTAATCAAGCTAATCAAGCAAATCAAGCTCAACAAAATCCTTTTGGCACATGGCAATCTGCTCTTGGTGCTGGCCTAGGTTTCCTTGCGGGTAGCTTTCTTAGCAGAGGCTTGTCTTCATCATCATCATCATCATACAGTTATTACCCTTACTATTCATACGGTAGTTATTATTATCCTTATTACAGTGGGTACAGAGGGAATAACTACAGGAATTCATATAGTTACTACCCTTATTACTATTATTATCGTGGTTAATTGCTCATTTTGCCTTTGTATAGCTGTGTATATTTTGAATTTGTATGAAATATGCAAATTTTCGTTTGACGTTGTGTTCTGTGACAAGAAATCAAATATATTGCGGAATTAATAAATTTCAAATTTATCTCAAAAATCTGTGCAGCAAGTTGTCATCACCAAAGGCTTTTCTTATAGGATAATAAAGTGTTTACACTAATCAGTAACTTATGAATTGGAAAAAGAAAAGTCAATGAATCTAACAGTAATTTGTCAATTTTATTACTATCACTTACTCAATTTCAGGTAATTGAGTTATTAAGACAGTGGTTCTCAAGAAGTATGATAACTTCAAGGTTGCATTTTTAGAATTTCTTGAAATTCAATACCGAAAACATATTATTAGCAAAATAAAACCTTGGATCTTTACGCCAATCACAATGTGTCATTATTGGCGCGTACTAAATGACATGGTTTGTCATGACAATCACCCCCAGAATACCACTTTCTCCAATTAAAATTGATTTAATTCTGTCACTGAATTAAAATTTCATTGATAAGATCGATAAGAGAAATGTACTGGTTGTAGAAATACAGAAAAAAGTTGCAGGGAACAAGAAAAAAGTTATTCCAAGGTTAATAAATACTTAAAAAGAAACGACACAGAAAAGTCTAATGTTCATAATAATTATTACTCATTTACTTATCATTAATCACTGAAATGTCATGCCAAGTATCTGAAACTGATTAGAGTTTATCTTCCAATAGAATTAGGCCTAACATTCAAGTTTCACTTTGTTATTCGAAGATTTTGACCGCCATCACAAGTTTAGTTATAGGAAAAAGTGCAGATGACCCAAAAGAAAGAACAAGTTTCATAGTAGGACTTTTTTTCTCCTAAAGATATCCTCGGTTTTTTAAAGAACTCTTTTCCTATATCGCTTTATTTTCTCCTTCAAATTAATTTTAAATGTGTGTCGTCATCAGAGTGACGCAAAATACACTGAATTACTGCGACATTTTCTTCTGTAATATGCGCTTCATAACAATCATTATTTAAATAGCGTATCCAGTTACCTGCTCATATCTTTTTCAGAAAACAAAAGCTTGACTTCAAGATTTTAAGAATCTCTTCAATCCATTATAAATACCAATGTCGTTTGTTCACCATTACCAATCGTAACCACCAATAAGGAATATTTATCTACCTAACTTTTGAATAATTTTTCATTGAATCTTCTTATAAAATTTTCAAATCATTCCCGAAAATACGGTTGACAAAGAGAATTAATAGAAAATGAATAACCCTTGTAGTGATTATCGGTAATGGTATAGTATTGGTATGAATATGTGGCAATTAATTGGCTTAACTATTTTACAGAAAAACATTTCATTTCATGATGGAAAGCTTATTTTCTAGAAAGATATGTAATAGTTATGAGTTATTTGGCTCAGTTTACCTAGCGATATTTTTGTTGATGAATATTTTGCAATGGAATTTAATGACTTAAACACATAATTGGTCACATAATTACATCCTGTATTCTTGTATGTTCCATAACTTTCTTAATGCCATAAAATATTTTGACATTTCGAAGATAAAACTCATTGATCTCCCTTGGGATTAGTTTCTGTGAAAGTCATCAAAGTTTGCTAAGCGTTACTTAAATTAATTCACTTTACCCAATAGTGTGACTGACGAAATCAAATTGTATCAATAATCATCATGTAGAGAATTTAATCTCACCGAATTTGATTGTCCCAGCTTTTTAACAGTTTATTTCTGAACTTCATGGTTCATAACTTCTCTAAAAATTGAACCAACGATGTTGTTTTCGGCAAACACAAGCAAATATATTCCATATATTTTACGTGTATTTCGCCTGTTCACGTAAAAATATCTCCTAAAAGTATACGTAAAATTATTGTCTCTTAAAAGTAACAAAATATCATCCTCATATATAAAAAACAAATAAAAAAAAACAAACTTTTCGGTTTTGCAGTAAAATCTCACAAATTTTTTTCTTCAGTAAGCATTTAATGAAGGAGAAACTTTATTGTAATAATACTAATTGCACACTAACAATTATATTTGCAGGAATTTTGGATTATTTGTTATGCTGCCATTCGTTATCACCAAATATTTGATTACTTTAACAATTCTGTAAGTTAATCTATTGCTGTTATCATATGATTCATTCAATACCTATTAATAATATCTATTAACATATTACTTCTCTTTCAGCACATTATTATTAATTGATAAGATGGATGCGCAACTTTTAACTCTCCGATCATTTAATAACAATTTTGCAGGTGACAACGTATGTTTTGTGTTTATTGTTAAATAATGCTTAATTTTACAGCATACTGTAGCAGAATTACAGTATGTCATAATACAGTAGTAACTAAAATATTATTGTTTATGGCATTAACTTTTCTAGTAAGTATGTTTCAAATTTCAGTCATTGAACAACAACGCTAACTCAGGGATTGGACGTGCTCCAGCTAATCAAGCTAATCAGGCTAATCAAGCTAATCAGGCTAATCAAGCTAATCGGGCTAATCAAGCTCAACAGAATTCTTTTGATGGATGGCAAACTGCACTTGGTGCTGGTCTCGGTTTTCTTGCAGGAAGTTGGTTAGGCAGAGGCTCATCTTCACCATATTCATATGGCTATTACGGTTATCCGTATTATCCGTACAACTATTATTACGGTGGTTATCCTCATTACTACTATTATTATGGTTAACTATTTTACAATTGCCAAATACCTTTTTGTCATTTTGCAGACTTAAATTTTTGAAAATTATGTAAAAATTTGTTATGTTGTGTAGATAAATGTTAAATGCATAATAAACTGAATATATTTTTCAATAAATATTAAAAATTCTTTGCTTATATGTTATTGTTATTAAAGTCTTTCGCGTTTATATTATAATCTTTAGTGTTCTTATTAATCAGTAACTAATGAAATGAAAAGAGGTGCTAAGAATAATTGATTAATTTTGTTACCAACTACTTACTGAATTTTGGTTAAGTAATTAAAAAGTATAATGCTTTTAAGTTTGTACCTTTAAAATCCTTTTAAATTTAATATTAAGAAGACTAAAATGTATAGGGCGGTGTGTGTTTGTAATGGAATAAACTTTGCAATTGTATGTCAGATGCATATGTCATTTATTTTTGCAGGCAAGTTGCTATTGCTTATATTCTGTTTGATATGATTTATCGATGTTTATTAGCTATAATATCACTTTTTCCATTTAAAATCAATTTAATTAATTATTTAATTGAAAAAAAAAAAGCTTTCACCAGTAAGGGCATTAGAGGAATATGTTGATTATAGCATATTCATATAAAAAAGTTCAATAAACTAAAACTCAAAAAATTCTATCCTGATCAGCTATCATTCATTTTATCGGTCTTCAATCATTGAAATATAACTTTAAGTATAATTTACAATGTACCTGACAAGGAGTTCATTTTCTGGTTCAATCTTTCATACAATGATTAAATTTAAATCAATAAATGGTTTTGCTAAACATTAGGACTTAGCACTTAAATCTTTGACAAATGGTATTCTAAAATCATATCATCAAAAATCATGATTAAAGGAAAAAGTACAAATGACGCGGAAGAAAAAGAACAAGTTTACCAAGAAAAGGAACAAGGTAATTTTTTAGCAGTTTTTTCGATAGAAATTGTGAGTTCTTAAGGAACTATGTTCTTCATCTTTTAATTTTTTTAAATAACTTCTGATCATCAACAACTAACTTAATAGTTTGCGGACATTTTCAACCTTGGTTGACTTTTAAATTTTTTTATATTATTAGTTTAGTTGATCAATCCTCCACATAATGCCATACATTTTGCATGTAACTCACTATTCAACTGTTAGAAGTAGTAATACTTATTTTGTATTTCATTAGAAGTAGTAATACTTATTTTGTATTTCATTAGAAGTAGTAATACTTATTTTGTATTTCATTAGAAGTAGTAATACTTATTTTGAATTTCATTAGAAGTAGTAATACTTATTTTGAATTTCATTAGAAGTAGTAATACTTATTTTGTATTTCATTAGAAGTAGTAATACTTATTTTGTATTTCATTAGAAGTAGTAATACTTATTTTGTATTTCATTAGAAGTAGTAATACTTATTTTGTATTTCATTAGAAGTAGTAATACTTATTTTGTATTTCATTAGAAGTAGTAATACTTATTTTGTATTTCATTAGAAGTAGTAATACTTATTTTGTATTTCATTAGAAGTAGTAATACTTATTTTGAATATCATTCGCAAAAACTTAGATACAGCAGTAGTTTGAATTGTGTAATAAAATCAACTGACTTTTTGAGCTTTGTGATCTGTTTTGAGCTAATCACTTAATTATTTGAGTACCATATGATGTAAGATACCTTAAATAACAAAAAGTATAGGTAAAGTAGTAGTAATCGTTCCTTATTCTTCAACCATTATTACCTTATGTTGCGATGAAATCTGCTTAGAATATATTACGATTTAATTATTACTATATCGCTTCTTCAGAAAGAAGAGAAAGAGATACGTAATGAGAAACAGAAAATACTATCATCTAGCTTAACCACTTGTCAATAAGTTTAACTAGAATGGTTTTCTTAATTTCAGGAATTCACAGTGGAATGTTTCCTTCCGGAAAGAATGTTTGAGTAGTGCTGTCTTGCTTGTCTTAGTTAAACCTATTTCGTATTATTATATTGTAATTGAGTCTTTTGCACTTTTAAAATAAGCCCTTCAAACACATAGAATTAGTCACACACAATTCTTTCACACAATCAACTTTTTGTTTCTAATTGTTCTGTATTCGATTCTTTTGGATGAAAAAATTCTTAAACAATTAATTAGCTTCCTTTAGTTTATGAATCGGCGAAAACGATGTAATGAAATTATTTCAGTAGTTGTTACCCATTTTTGTTACATTGTCCTTAAAGTATATGCAACGTCACTTCCTGAAAGTTTATTGAAAAAGCGTTAAAAAAAAAATAAGTTTAGTTTTAATTCTTGCCAAACAAGTTTCCTATAACAAGAATACAATAAGACATGAGCGTATTACAACCAATTATATTTGCAGGAATTTTCGATTGCTTATTATGTTGCTATTTGTTATCACTAAATATTTGATTGCTTTAACAATACCGTAAGTTATTGTATTTCATAATAAAAGTTAAACCATTTGCTGTTATCATATGATTAAATCAGTTTATTTACCTGCTAATGTATGTCTTTTTTTTTAGCATAATGCTACTATCATTTGACGAAACGAATGCACAGTTACTCAATTTAAACTTTTTGTCATTTAATAACAACAGAGCAGGCGACAACGTAAGTTTCACATCTCTGATCTTAATGAAAAATCACATACTAATGTGATGCACTAAGTAATAATTACTTATACAAGAGTTAAAATTCTAATTTGAATTTCAGTCATTGAACGGTAATGGTAACGCAGGTGCTAGACCCGGTGCTGCTCCAGCTAATCAAGCTAATCAAGCAAATCAAGCTCAACAAAATCCTTTTGGCACATGGCAATCTGCTCTTGGTGCTGGCCTAGGTTTCCTTGCGGGTAGCTTTCTTAGCAGAGGCTTGTCTTCATCATCATCATCATCATACAGTTATTACCCTTACTATTCATACGGCAGTTATTATTATCCTTATTACAGTGGGTACAGAGGGAATAACTACAGGAATTCATATAGTTACTACCCTTATTACTATTATTATCGTGGTTAATTGCTCATTTTGCCTTTGTATAGCTGTGTATATTTTGAATTTGTATGAAATATGCAAATTTTCGTTTGACGTTGTGTTCTGTGACAAGAAATCAAATATATTGCGGAATTAATAAATTTCAAATTTATCTCAAAAATCTGTGCAGCAAGTTGTCATCACCAAAGGCTTTTCTTATAGGATAATAAAGTGTTTACACTAATCAGTAACTTATGAATTGGAAAAAGAAAAGTCAATGAATCTAACAGTAATTTGTCAATTTTATTACTATCACTTACTCAATTTCAGGTAATTGAGTTATTAAGACAGTGGTTCTCAAGAAGTATGATAACTTCAAGGTTGCATTTTTAGAATTCCTTGAAATTCAATATCGAAAACATATTATTATCAAAATAAAACCTTGGATCATTGCGCCAACCAAAATGTACCATTATTGACACGTGCTGAATGATATGGTTTATCATGACCTCTAGAGAAATGTACTGATTGCAGAAATGTAATAATTACAAAAAAAGAAAAAATTAAGTAAACAAAAAAAACAAAAAAAAATGCTTTAGGGCGGATAAATACACGAAAAGGATTAACCTTCATTGAAACATTACATCAAGTACGTCTAGCTGAGGTTTTATTCTAAAGTCAAAATAAAATCAAAACGTTGATTTGTGATTAGATTCAATAAATAATGCTCTACCATTCCAAATTTTTGGCCTCCATAAAAAGTTATAATTAAAAGGGAAAGTAAAGATAACTTTAGAGAAAGAACAAGTTTATCACAACTTGCATCAGCATTGTCACACTTTTATTCTTGGTTAATTTTTAAAGAAACTTTTTCCTCTATTGCTTTATTTTCTCCTTTACATTAAATGTCATCAGAGTGACGCAAAACATACTGAACTACTGGGACATTTTCTTTTGCGCTTCATAACAATTATTATAGCGTATGTATGTGCATCCGTTTGCGCATTTATATATTTTTCCGGAAAGTAAAAGCTTAGCTGCATGATTTTATGAATCTCTTCAATTCGTTCTAAATCTCTTATTCAAGGCTAAAAACAACTTTTGAGTAATTTTTACAGAATAAAATTTCAAATGTCTTCTTGCTTTACCATATCAATTGCAATAGCTCTTTTCATAAAATTTTCAAAACTTTTACGAAGAGTGAAGCAAATACGGTTTGATAGCTACGGTTAAGATGAATTTCATACATCCCATGTAAATTTAAATCTATTTCATAAGTATTCATGAAGTATCCATAAAAATAGAAGAGTAACTCTGTTATGGTTATGGTTAGTAATGGTATTGGGATTTATACCAATGAACCAACTTAATTACTTTACAGATAAACATATTATCTCACAATGGAATGTTTATTTTCCGAAAACTACAAATTATATTTGCAGGAATTTAACGTTACTTATTATGCTGCTATTCGTTATCACTAAACATCTGATTACTTTAACAATACTGTAAGTTTAAAGTATTTGCTGTTTCCATATGACTCATTTAATATTTGCTAATAATATCTATTAACATGTGACTTCTTTTTCAGCACAATTTTATTCAATAATCAGATATATGCGCAGGTTTTTACCCTAGAATCGTTTAATGATAATTTTGTTGGCCGTAACGTAAGTTTTTCACGTATTATTAGGTAACACGTAATTTGACACTATACATCTACAGTATGTTGGTAAATGTTTTAAAAGCTTATTGAAAATTTCAGTCATTGAATAATAATGGTAACGCGAGGTTTGGACCCGCTGCTGCTCCAGCTAATCAAGCACAACAGAATCCTTTTCCGTGGCAAACTGCGCTTGGTGCTGGTCTCGGTTTTCTTGCAGGAACTTTGTTCAATAGAGGCTCGTCTTCACCAGTCCAATATGGCTATTACGCTTATCCATATTATCCGAACTATTACTATCGTCGTTATCCTTACTACTATTATTATTATTATTATTATTATGGCTAACTGTTTTAAAACCGCCAAACATTTATTTTTATCAGTGTCTAAACTTAAAATTCTCGAAATTTGTCCAATTTCCGTTTGCTATTTGTTTTGCAGGTAAAAAATACGGTTATTATGAAGATTTTGAACTGAATAAATTCTGAAAATGTGAAAATCTAAGCCGTACTTGTGATTAATTTATTGAATTCGTCTGAAATTCCTTATTGTTTCATCATGTGCCATTGTGAGAATTCATCTTGTTCAAAAATCTGCCGAATTGTCTCGATCTCTGGAATTATTAAAATGGAATAATCCACCAATGGAATACTCAAAGTAATTAGGAAATTACAGATTGAAGTGAATTAACAAAAGTAAATGACTATATTTGTGTTTGGCTAGTTTTAATGCTAATTACCCATTAAAATGATTATACTATTCGAATTACTGAAGAATAAAAAAGCAAATACTTTCAAATATTCAAGAATTACTCCAAGTTTTCATTTTCAGAATATATTCCGTAAAATCGTAAAATACTAGCTGAAAATATGAGAAAATGCATGCTTATAGCGGAATAAGACTTTAAAACTTAATAGCATTTCACTTTATAACTTATACTTTTATGGAAAGCCATTGCTGGCCTATTCTATAACGCTAATTAGCTTGATTTGCTATCATAAGCATTATTTCTTCTAATTAAAATAAATTTAATTAATATTCAATCAGAAAGTGAAAAAATAATAGAGATGTTAGAAGGATGTAGTGATTGCTGAAGTATTTATTTATGGAAAAAATTTAAAAAAGAAAAGTCATTTCACTGAATGAAAATTCGTTAACTGCAAAATATTCTGATCCTCTCCATACTGAAATTCAAAAATTGATTGCTGTAATTAAAGTAAAGTGGTAAAAGCTGTTTGAAGATGAATGAAAATTCAAAAAGGGAAGAAGGAATATTAGCTAAAACAAAGTTTTACGTCGACTTCCGTTGAAATACGATGTGCAATACTACTGTTTTCTTTCAATCAAAGAATTGGAATTAGAATAAATCAGAGCTATGGTTGATCAGATTTTGACAGTTATTCTAGCTGTAGAAGTCGAGCATCAATCAATCATTTTATAATTTATTTGATTGAAATAAATCAGTACAATAATAACTATAATACAATAATATAATAAAGCTTTATCATATATTTTTACTTTTCCACTTATTTCTTGAATACTAACCGAAATCATTCCGGTTATTACCGCATTTCATTTCATTCATATCGCTTTTGTAATAATTCAACCAATCAATATAGAAAAATGACTGTTTTAACTTTCAATTTTTAATTTCATTTTGATTAATAGCACAAAGTACACATTATTCCTCATTTCTCTTAAATATTATAAAAAAAAAAAAAAAAAATTCTCGGCAATTACTCATCTCTTTGAACTCTGATCATTGGCATACAGCTCAAAGTATAGCTGACAAGGACTTTTATAACTTGGCTCCATCTTTAATTCAATAATCAAGTCTAACTTTGCTTTTTCATCTCTGACCAATACTTTTTTACCATTACAAAATGTTGGCTCTCATCGAAGGTAATAATTATAAAAGTACGGATGACGTGGAAGTGAAAGAACAAGTTTACCATAATTGAAAAATGTTTTTTTTTTTTTTTTTTTAGAAGAAATTGTTAGTTATTAAGGAACTGTTTTCCCTTTCACTTTAGTTCTACTTTTGTCATTGGGAAGAGTTCAAATACGCTAAACAATTTGATTTTATCACAATATTTGTTAGAATAGCATATATTTTGCCATTGCTTATATATGTCTATTTGCCCATACTCATATTTTTGTTTTTGTTTTTGAAAGCATAAAGCCAATTTTAATATTTTGAAAATCTAAGCATTGCATCATAAAGCGAGTTACATTATTTTGAAGAATACAATGATTGTTTTCTGGGAATTATATAAATTTTCAGATTTTTCATTTCTTATTTAAATATGATAATTATCAATAATTTCTGTATTATCTCATTAATATTGACTTGGTATTTCTCCTCATTGTTTATGAATTTTACGTAAAATTTAAAATGGGATGGCTTATTTTATGTTAGCTGTTTGTAGTTAGAAATAGTTGATGAAACTTATGTATATTAAATACCATAAAATTTCAGCATCTTGCTATTAGCTACTGAATCACAAGAAAATTTCAGATAATATTACAATAAGTTAATACGAAGAAAGATATGAAATTTATATAACAATTAGTTACTACGATATCTCTTTTTCAGAAGAGAGATACTGTAGTAAAGCACTAACTACCGTACTTTTTTTAGAAATTTACGGTACAATATTTCTTTTCGGAAAGAAAGTTTGAGTAGCAGCTTGTTTTACTTTGCTTGTTTAGTTAAACTTATGCTTTATTATTGTCATTGTGCCAGCCGATCAGTAGTGTAAATATAAACAATTAGTCATATAATTACTTTCTCAACTTATTGTTTCCAGTTGTCCCATTTTCTTTAATACGTTAGCTGATAACGTTCCGGAAATAAAACGGAATAAATCTAACTAAGCTCTCATTATGACAACTTTTTTGCAAGAGATAGGGTAGTATGCCACTATCAGTTTTATCATTGCGGAAATGAATTGGGTCGCTTTATCCAACACTCTAAATTTATCCAATAGTAAAAATGATTAGAAGGAATTATTCTTTTCAATAACTTTTTACAAGTAAATATTTGAGCAGCATAGCTTATTAATAACAATTTAATTCTGAATTTTATAGCTTACAAATTTTTTGAAAATTGAGCCAACTGTGTTATTTTTGGCAAACATAAGCAAATATATTTTATATATTTCATGTAAATTTCATTCTGTTTCACAAATATACCTTAAAATATCATCTCTTAAACAAAAAAAAAAAAAAAAAAAACAGAATTTCATTCTCAAAATAAAACCGACTGTTTGGTTAACTGTTAATTGTTTTCTTCAATAAGGACATAATGAAGAAGTAAGCTCCATTACAATTATATTTGCAGGAATTTTGGATCATTTGTCATGCTGCTACTTGTTATTACTAAATATTTGATTGCTTTAACAATATTGTAAGTTAAAGTATTTACTATTATTATACGATTTATTTGATATCTTTTAATAATATCTGTTAATATCTTATCTTTCAGCGTAATATTATTGTTTGATGGGACGAATGCGCAACTTTTTACCTTTCGATCGTTTAACGAAAATTTTGCAGGCGACAACGTATGTTTTATACTTATTTTCTAGGTAATAGTTAATGTATCATATATTGTAGAACAAGTACAGTATGTGATATACTAAGCATTAGTGCTCATTTAAGCATTAACTTTTTCAGTAAAGAATTTATTTTACATTTTAGTCGTTGAACAATAATGCCAACGCAGGAGGTGGACGTCCACCAGCTGCTAATCAACCAAATCAACCAAATCAAGCAAATCAAGCTCAACAGAATCCTTGGTTGTCTGCGCTTGGTGCTGGTGTACAAGGTTTCATTGCGGGAAGTTTATTTAATAGAGGCTTGTCAAGAGGAAACTTACCAGCACCACCATATTTTTATGGCTACGGTGGTTATTACCCATACTACGGTGGTTATTATTATCCGTATAACTATCGTTATCCTTATTACTACTATTATTATGGTTAATTGCTTTACTGCCTCTAAAATCATTGTTCGAATTTTAAATTTCTAAAAATTATGGAAGATTTTGTATATTGTTATATTGTATAGATAAGTTATTAAACACACTATGAAATTAAAGCTTTCCGTAATTCTTTCATAGTTGTTGTATTGATTAATAACTTATGGATTGGAAAGAGTTGCTTAAAATAAATGATTATATTATTGACTAAATAATTTGTTGTCAATAACTGATTGATTTTGGATGATTGAGTAATTGAAAAGTAACAGTTTTCTTGAAATATAGTATCTTTTAATTTACATTATTGGAATTCATTGACATTTGATATCAAAAAAGCTAAATTACAAGCAAAAACTTTGAAATTATGTGTCAATTATATACGATGTTATGAACAATTAATCTTACTTACTTTAATACATCCAAATATTATCATTGATTTGTATGATTTGTCACTGTTTATCACCTTGAAATATGATTCATCCTAATTAAAGCTGTCTTAGTAATTCAAATCAATAGGTGACAGATCGATCTCGAGAGAGAGAGAGAGAGAGAGAGAGAGAGAGGAAAGGAGTTTAGAAGAATACAATTTATTGTAAAAGTGCTTGTTCGCAAGGGAAACAGCCATTTCAGAATGACTAAATACTTCAAATGGAATGACACAAAAAATTTCAGTCTCTTCAACAATTACTTATGTGTTTTGATCTTTAAGCACTGGAATGTCATGCTAAGTAGCACTAATTTTCTCGCTTCATAATCAAATCGAAATCAATAAACAATTTTTTTAGCCATTAAAATTTCACTCCCAGATCTATGACCAATGATAATTTGCTATTTTAAAAATTCTTGTTGCCATCAAAAATCATAATTAAAAAATGAAGTACAAGAATGAAGCAAACATGACAAAACAAGTTTAAGTTTTTCTTTTTTTTTCGAATGAAATCGTTGTTTTTTTAACGAACTGTTTTCTTCTATCGTTTTATTTTTTCTTTTTCATTAAATGTACGTCGTAAAATACGCTGAACAATTAAAATATTTTCGCTTGAAGTACATGTTACGTCTAATTGTTACTTGGAAAATGTTTCACGATTTATTACTTTCCGGAAAGTAAAACCTAAATTTAAAATTTTACGAATTTTTTCAACTACATTTATTCAAGAACCGAAATAGTAACTTTTTGAATAATTTTTCATTAAATTCGCTTGAAGTGCTTTATTTTATATTCATATATTCATTTTATATTCATATTTTATATTCTATTATGAGATTTTTTTTCTTTTTTGCTTGCAAATCTACTAAATTTTCCGATCTCTAAAATTGAAATTATACTGAAATGGAATAATCCTACTAGGACGCAATCAATTTTTATTTGTTCCAGTGTTACCACATATCTGCTAACTCAAATTCTGAAAAAAAGTTTAAAAATATAATTATGCAAAAAGAGTGAGAAAAATACTTTTTTTTTTTTTAACAATGAAAATTAAATAAGAGAGAAATAATCATTGCATTGGTTACGATTGGTGACATTATTCAAAGCATGTATACGGTAGCGGGAGAATATTACAGTCAACTAACTTGATTACTGTACTGATAAACATCTCATTAATTAGCAGTGGAATATTTGTCTCCTTTAACAGATGTACTTTTGTTTTTCTTTGCTCAAGTTTACTTTAATTGTATTTATATTATTCAGTAATTTGTGTCATCAAAATGTAACTAAATTCTTTGTATAAAAAATGTCACATAATTACTTTTCATACCATACACTTTTAATGAAAAGAATGAAATTGTTCCAGTTGTTCCGTATTCCCTTTTCGTCATACTTCAGATGATAACAACTGCAGGAACAAAACTAATTTACTCCTTTTAGGACCAGTTTTTCCTTTCTTTTTTTTTTTTTTTTTTTTTTTTTTTTAAAAAAATGTCAATGAAATGTTGTGCCATTAATTTTACGACAGTTACGTAAATTGTTTAACTTTTTCTGCGCAACACTTTATATTTATTTAATGGTGAAAGTGGTGAAATGAAATTGCTTCAATAATCATTCATTTTTAGTAGTAAAAAATTTGATCTTTATTGATTAAAATAATTATTTGAATGCATAAGTGAAAATGTTACATTCTAAAAATGCCGAAATGTTAGCCACAATATAAAAATGCTAACTTTTTAGCTTGAATTATTGCTAGTTCTTACTGAATAGGAATTAAATTAAAAAAAAAATTAAGTCTTATTTTAATAATGTGTCAATTGTACACTATCAATCATATTTGCAGGAATTTTGGACTGCTTATTATGCTGCCATTTCTTATCACTAAATATTTAATTGCTTTAACAGTACTGTAAGTTATTGTATTTGATAATATAAGTTAAAATAAATATTGTTATCATATGATTCATTTAATTTAAGTACCTTTTATTAATATATTTCTTCTCTTTCAGCACAACATTACTAATGACTGAAACGGATGCGCAATTGTTCAATTTAAATGTGCTATCGTTCAATAATAACAGAGCAGGCAACAATGTACATTTCAAATTTTATATTAAAACTTAAGTATTAGTGCTCATTTACGAGTTAAAATTTTTAGTAAAAGTTTATTTTAAATTTCAGTCGTTGAACGCTAATGGTAACGCAGGAATTGGAGCTGCTGCTACTACGGATAGACGTGTTCCGGAAAATCAAAATCAGCAAAGTTCGTTTGGCACGTGGCATACAGCGCTTGGTGCTGGTTTGGGTTTCCTTGCGGGTAGCTATTTTGGTAGCAGTTCATCTTCATCACCCTCGTATGGTTATTACCCTTACTATTCATACAGCAATTATTATTATCCTTCTTACTACGGTAGGTACAGAGGGAATAACTACAGGAATTCATATAGTTACTACCCTTATTACTATTATTATCGTGGTTAATTGTTTTATATTCTTTGATCATTTTTTTCAAAAATATGCAAATTTTGTTTAGTGTTATACTACATAAACAAACGTTGATAGATTATAAACTTAATAAATTCTAAAAATATCAAAGCCTTCTGCAACTCTATCTTAGTTCATAATTCCTTTATTAATTAGTAGCTTATGGGTTGATTTTAAAAAAAGAAAATTGAATAAATGTATCATAAATTGATAATAGTTACTAATTTTATAATAGTTACTCTTTGAATTTTAGATAAGAGAACAATTAAAAAGTAATAGCTTAAAATTTGTTGATTTTCATTAAGTTTGAATTTCGGAATTTTTTAGAATTAAATATTAAAAAACCAGATGTGTAGGACAGCGTGTATTCATAGTAGAATAAAATTTTGGAAGTAAGTGTTAATTAGATATTCCATTATGAACAATCATTCTTGCTTACCTTAAATATATTCAAACGTCACTGCTAGCTGAAATCAATATTTTGAAAATAAAAAATTTATTTTTGAAAAATTTAGTAGATTAGAACTTTTTTTAAAAATTAATTAGATTAACTAAAAAAAGGAAAGAAATACATTGCACAGTTCTGCCTGAGTGAAGTAAACTTTAAATTAATTATATCAAAAATTGCATTTTATAAAATTTTATTTTGAATAAAATTATACTGAAAACCATTGCTTTAATAATTGCACTGTTAAGAATATTAACTTTTTGCTAGAAAATTTTGTATTATTAAAACTTATTCATTATTTTTAGGAAATGATAAAATTTCGATTACTTCAATTTACAATAGCTTACGTACCGAATATTAAATTCAATGGCAAATTAAATTTAATTATTATTTCTTAAAATTAATAGTTTTTACTATAAATGAATTTCATTGATTTTGTATTATTTCAATTTGAATAGTTTCAAAATAATAAAATTACTGATTTATCAATAAGTGATGAAAGCAATTTAATATTATCATTTTTGATTTTATTGATAAGCATCAATTAAATCTAAAAAATTGGCAAAGTTTTAACACTGTTTATTATTGTTCAACATCATTTATCATTATTTTATCATCGTTAATAATGATACTGATAATAACAATTATTCAAAAGATAACTCTTAGAAAATATGCATTGGAATTTAAAACAAACTCACAAGCAAAAAATTCGCCATCAAAATTGTAATGACTGAAACAGTCGCCGCATAGTTCATAAATTTGAATTCCATTGAAGGAAGCAAATTTTGAAATTTTTTAGGATTTAATAATGCTAAAATATTATTATTAGTATATATAAACTTATTGATGATAAGAAATATGTCATTTAATAGTTTTGAAGAAGAAATTTAAGCAATTTCTACCATAAATTTCATAAAAAAAGTAATTGTCTAAAAGCAAATAATGTTAATTTGATTTAACTTATTGATATGATGATAAGAAATATGTCATTTAATAGTTTTTGATTCCTTAAAAGAAAAATATTGCACATTTTGAAGAAGAAAGGAAGGAAGGAAAGAAGGAAGGAGATCAATTCCAAAAAGTGATTGAAAAATTAATCTGCCAAAAATTTGCAGTACTTTTTCCAGAAAGTAATGCTAATATTAAAATTTATATGTAAGGAGATTTAAAATTCCCATTATTGTAAATATAAAAAATAAAGTTAAAATCATATAATGTAAAGTACACAGAAAAATGCTAAATAACTTACTTATTAGCATATCATCGAGATTCTTTGTTACTCTCAATTACTTACTTGTGATCAAGTAAGTAATTATTTGAGATTTAATTATAAAAGCATGACATATTAAGCATGCAAACATGTAAGGATCTGCTTTTATCTCTGTAAAATGAACAATTCTTTTAATGATTAATTGCTGATAATAATCTTTTTCGAGAAAAATGATTGAAAAAATTAGCCAATTCAATAAATTTTGATAGAGAATTGATAAAAATGATTTGTTGAATTCAAAGTTGAAACAAATAGAATGATAAAGGACAGATAACCCAATTCAACATATTTTTTTTTGTATGTGTTTCTGAAATTTGTGCCATCAATCAATTTTAAATTCAAACAATTTATTGTTGATGGTATTTTTTGTTTTTTAAAACAAATTCATTCTTGAAGGAATGCGTAAATGACTGCACATTTGCGCTTATTAATTAGGATTTTACAAAGTTCTATGCAAATTTATCTTTCTTTTTCCAAAAAACATAATTTAGCTTTTATCACTTCTTATCATTGAATTGAAATTTTCATAAAATAGAAAAAATGATAATTCATAATTTCAGTAAAATTTATCGTCATTTAAATAATTTCTACAAATGATATACAAAAAAGAAAACGAAAAATGATATTAGTGATAATAAATATCCTTTATAATTGAATGAACGAAATTTGTCATATAAGGTGACATATAAAGTGTCACATAAGGTGACATCTGTAATTATATAGCTAACCATAATTACTCTTCGTACTGTTACCACTAATCGTTTATCAAATAAACAAAATGAACTGAAAATTTCGTTAAGTGAATGTTAGTATTATAAATTCATTAATTTTTATGACTAAGGTTGCATCCCTTTTTTGAAAGTATGAAAAAATGTTAATTTAGTTCAATTCAAGTTGACAATTTAGAAATTTATACAAGTTTGAATATCAAAGTAACATACTTAACGAGTATAGTTAACAAGTTTAAAAAAATAATATACACTTAACTATATTGTTTTTTGACACCCAATTTTTATTTTAATTTCAATTTCTGATTTTTTTTTCCTGTTTTGATTTTGTTAATAAAACTTTGAAAATTTAACTTCGAATAAATTAATTAGTTTATATTTAGCATAAGAACTGGCGTAAACTCTCAAAGCATATATTCAAAATTAAAATAGGTAATTTCTTATACTAAATTAGTTTATAAATAACTTACTACAAGTAACTTATCAATAATTAGCAGAAAGTTTGCCTTGATAAGATTTGATAGTCAGGAAATGACGAATTGTGATAAATTATCAACTCATATTCGTAAAAAAGTATTCGGAAAATAATGGGATGATAAAGTAGAACTGAAATAGAAGACTGACACGTAAATAAATTACTAATGACGTGGAGTACGTATAATTTACGTAATTTTTATTTTTTACTTTGTCTAAGCAGCCTTGAAATAATAATTAAAATTACTTATGCACATATATACTCCGGAATTTTCGAATGATTTGAAGCCGTAACTCAGTATTGATTGAATTATAGAATCGAGAATCAATAAAAGTAATATGAAATGATTAAGTGATTTTGAAGTATCAATAGCCTAATTAGTAGATAGGATAGTTTGAGTGATTTTCTAGGATTTAATAGATAAAATAATTTGATCACAAATGATCAGTGAACAATATTAGTGATTTTTACTGATCAAAGAAAGCATAGTGAGATCAAGTGAACTTTACTTAATTAATTATCTCATTAGTAAATTTATCTTTGATCCAAATATCTTCAATAATTATTTTTTCTTTAATTCTCTGAAAATAACAAATTTTGGAAGGGATTTAATTTATAAATTCAATTCGACTCTAGCTTACTTAGCAATAAGTAGATCAAATTTCAAATGTGAAGCATTTTTAATTTAACTCAATTCACATTAAATTGTGTTATTTTGAATTTTTGTAATTAAAATACTCATTAATTTTTAAAATTTTAAATTTTTTAAATTAATTAAAAATGAAGGAAATCGAAAAAAAAAACCGGAAGATTTTCTTGTAATATTTTTTGAAGGGAACATTTTTAATGTTTCATGTGATACTGAATTATTAAAACTTTTCATTATTCCAACATATAAGAATTTAATTTTTAATCTTTTATCGATTTCAACCATCAACGATTAAAGTATCTTAGCATATTTACCTGCTTTTACTATTACTTTTTTTCCTGCTATTTACTTTTTAAGTAGTACTTTTAAAAGATTACTCTTACTAAACATTTATTTTATACTAATTATCAAATTATAGCAGTGTTTTATAAAAATAAGTTAGATCAACTTTCATGTCATAAAGTTAAAATCATATTTTATTATATTCATATTTCTATTGAAGAAAGTGAAAATTTTCCAATTAACAATAAAATTCTCATTTCAATCAAATTCTTATGCTTATTTTACTATAATATCATTTGAATTATTTAAATATCAGCGAGATTATCCTTGAGTATATTCTTGACAAATGAAAGAATTTAATGACTTTTCAAAATTTTTCTGTTTATTTTCTTCACTCATTAAAATTTCACCTCATGTTTTAAATTTAATAGAATTTTAGATGTAAAAAAGAAATACAAATATAGCAATTAAATTTAAAACGTTCAATTACACCAATAAAAAGTTTATATGCAGCAAGTAGTATAAGAAAATTTTTCTTGTGATTAATTAAATGATTATTTATCTATGTCTAAATAATTTTTTTTGCATATTCTGAATAGTAAATGATAAGCTTAGTATTAACAATAAACAAATTAGCAAACATTGTTAAAAACAATACGACAGATTCATTGATTACAATGAGATAACATACAATGATAAGATAAATGCAATTTAAACAGAATAAAATACAATCATAAAAAAATTGAAATTGTTTTAATTCAAATACTACAATGACATTTGTTTTCTGCTCATTTTTTTAAATTAGTATTTCAATCTTTTGTTATAATTACTGTAAAATAAAGAAATGGAATTGGTGTCATTCAGATGAATAATTCTACTAATTTGTGAGATGAAAATTTCCATCTATTGTAAATTTTTATTTTTTATGATCATTTTGTCACTGTTTTCTTTCTGTTCTCAAGTACTCATTCGTTTTCTTTATCTGATAAACTAAATTTTCAAATTTTCAAACCATGGATTTCTCCTTTTCAAAGCTTTGACAACATAAGTAGTATCTTTCTGCAGAATGTTCATGGTATTCCTTCCAGGGAAATCCAAGAATTGGTTTGATTAAAACAGCCCACAGATTCGGGAATTGTTGCCCAGGAAGAGAATTGCACATCAAGCATACCTCTATTATAAGAAAAATAGCTTTTTACAAAAATTTCAACTACTAGGATACTCTCATAAGTTCTTCAAAATGATTACATGCGTGGGACAAATGCGCTGAAATTCTTAAAAATGATCACCTGCATGTGGACAAATGCGCTAAAATTCTTCAAAATAATCACTTGCATGTGGACAAATGCGCTAAAATTCTTCAAAATAATCACTTGCATGTGGACAAATGCGGTAAAAGAAGGAACGATAATTTATTCACTAAGTCCTTCTCGATAATAAATAATGTGAAACAAAATTGTCACACAACTATAACAACCTGATAATAACTTTGAATGTAACTTTAAGTAAAACGTTGATAATAATTTCAAAATATTGATAATAACTTTATCAGTTTTATACGATATTATGCAGTATCGCACTTTTACAATAATAGGAAGAAAATGAAAATACAATAAAATTACATTAATAAATCACTAAATTGCCACTGAGTGGAACTTATCTAATGAAAAGTTCCAATCCTTTTGCATTTCCCATATTAGCTTTTTGCGATCTTTGTTTTATTGAAATGACCTTTCACTCGATATTGCCCTTTGATCTTTGCTTGAACTTATCCTAACATTTTGCTTTATAGAAACTCGCTAATTGCTACCCCAATAATTCCTCTATATTATCCTAGATATAGCATAGTATTCCATATCCTCAGTTGTGGCTTCAGCCAGAAAATATCATTTAAAATGCCATTGCCATATTTGAGGCCTGTAAAACTAGTTTTAATGAGAAAAAATAACATTAGAAGAGTTATGCCTCACCAGTGGACTTTTTTCATTTTGCAATCAGATTCGTTATCAACAAGTAATAAAGTTTAGGACTTAAGGCTCACCTTAAAATGAATGTTAGGCCTTTAATTTTGGGCCTTTGAAACAGTTATATTTATTATTTGTTAGAATTTATCAAGAAAGAAACGTTTATCTCATTGCATTTGATGTAATAATAATAAAATATTAAACTAATAATTATTAAAAAGTACAATGGCAATTGATAATACTTCCGGTCATATTATAGCCAGCAAATTAACAAGGTCAGAGGTAAGGCTAATCTATGTTAGATTGATATTTTCAACAGACAAACATTTCAAATGAAAGGCCACTTTTGCTAAACGAACTACCAACTATAATAACTACAATTGTATATAGTTATTATCATAGTTAGTAATGCAAATAATAACAATTATCACTCTTGTAGTTCAATAATTTCGATTATAATTATAATTACAGTAATAATTGATATTTATTATTATTATTACCTATAATTACAACTATAATTATGATAATGAGTTGTAATTAATACTGTAATTGACAATAATAACTTTTATTGCTATTAATTATTACTATTAGTATTATGTTACAGATATTTACTCTAATTTTAAACCACAAAGATCTTTCATGTCATCTAGAAGTTTTGCCTCCAATTTCTAACTTTAATGAGATTAGTCTATTTTTTTACAAAATTTCTTCAGAAGCTCAAATGTGTCAAATAATTCATGCTAATGTATGAGGAAATAATGCTTGTTTTTTTTTTGGAAATAAAATTAATTAATAAATTTTGACTAGCAATCATATCTTTGGTATAATTACTTACAATTTGCTACTTATTTTGAAATAAACCAAAAGTAATGGATTTTAATTAACTTTATCAAACAATGTTTTTCATGCAGAAATAAAAGAATTCAATGTTGAAATTTCAATTTGAATAATTAAACTGTAAATTTTCTTGACTTTCAGATACTTTCTGAACACTATCGTCAACATAGCAACTAGGTATAATGTCGCTCTAAATGTGACAGAATCCAATGCAGCTAATTCGAGTACTGGTTAACAAATTAGCTTATATTAGCCTTCAGAAATTTCAACAATAATATTGTAAAAGCAAATTTAGAATTTCTTTCTTACTGCCCTGTTTCCTTATGAAATGAAATAGCTTCCTTTCTTGATGGTTCATATCGTTGACTTCTTTGTCCTCGATACTAGTAGAATCTCGAGTTTGTACTGGTTCCATTCTGTGTACGTGTACTGTGGGAGTCTTCGTAAAATACTTTATTAGTCAAACCTCAAACTTGGGTAAATAAACCTTAGATTAACAATAAATATTTTACAACATTACAATAATGAGTTAATACATACCACACAAATGTAACTTAATTATAAAACATTTAAAGATACAAGCAAGCTAGACACCTCGCAAGCGAGCCGTACCAAACAAGGAACTATAATCAGTGGCTTTGTAAGGAAGAAAATTGGGAGGGATTTTATGGGTGTTAAGGTTACAAAGTGGATTACAATCATTTCAAACAATAGCCTTTGTTCATTAGGTTATAGCTTCGCCATTGTGGCGACAAATATATTGTGTAATCTGTTAAGCTTAGTTATCATAAATTATCTCATACACAGGTATACAACCTAGCAAGTGACCTTCATTAACCTTTCCTCAACCTAGCAAGTGACCTTCATTAACCTTTCCTCCTTTTTCATGCAATATACCATTTCCTTTCCAAGTAATCACCTAGCTAACATCTTCAAGTAGCTTTAAATTTGTCAAAACACTTCATTTCTGCGTAACACCAAAAAGTTGAATTTAACTTCTGGAAAAAAACAGCAACTAATAAATGTGGAAAATATTTAAATAATTCATAAAAATTGAAAATTAGAAAAATTCTGAATTTAGTAATTCAGAAAGAAATTAGAGTGCCTATTTGAATGAAAATGTACACATTTACCAGTGCAACAACACTTTATTAGTGCGTGAGAAGAAAATGACAAGAAAATTCAAAGATAAAAGTAAAGGTTATTTGTTAATAATCAATCAAAATTGATTAAAGCAGGTTATAAGGGTCAACCGACCTTTTAAAAGAACTTTTTCGTTGCTAATTTCAGCAACCTACTTTATCCTAGAATACAAGTGAACCCGAAATATTCCGGAAGCATCAGGGTATCTATCATTGCATATTGGCTATTTTCTTCTTGACTTAATTTCTCCTTTATAACCATCAAATTTTTTTCGATTGTTTCTCTCTTTCTTGTCATTTTTTCTCCCATAACCGTTTTATCCGTTATTGAATCTTCAATTTCGACAGAAGAAATACTTCCAAAAGTTTAGACTGTTCATGATATGCTTTTTCGAAATGTTCCGGAAAAAATACTTCTCCAAGTAATCTTTAAAAATATTTTAGCTTGATTTTCTTTAAGCTGAGAAATCAAATTACTTTAAATTTAGAACTCTTAAAACTTAAAAATACGGAAAAAAAATAAACATAAATGTTAAAACTTTTTTCGCTTATTGCACTTTTCATAGTACTCTTCGAGAATTATTTGTGATCTTTTTTTTTTTCGATTCTCTTGATCTTAACTTCTCTGAATTCTTTATAGAACAAAATTTAGATTATTGTTATGAATTATAAAGAAAATTTTGAAATTTTTATGGCAAAACTTCTTCTATGCTATATATAAACTGCAAGTATATCAAATCATAAATTAAACAAATGGCAATGAAATTAATTAAGTTATTTTGTAAATTTTGTAAACTTTTATAATTAACAAAACATTTTGTAATAGCGTTTAGATTAACAGAAAAGATTTGAATATCAAAAGATTTAATTTTCAGTTTATAATTGCTTACATTCAAATTCTTCAATCCAATTTGATCAAAATCATTTCAGTTCGATTTATAATACAATTTGATATAATATATTAGAATCAGATTTAGAAACTGATTTAGTTCGATTCAATTTAATATTATTTATTGTATGTAAGCAGATATAAACAAAAATAAAAAAAAAAAAACTTGAAACGATATCAATAAGATAACCCTTTCGAGAACACGTATCACATACAAACCATATATGGTGATAAGAAATGAGATCAGTATTATTGAGTCAAATGGAATAAGTAAATATTATTTATGGAATGGTTATCAAAAGTAAGAAAATTTCAGTTCATTTTGATCATTTAATTTAATTAACTGACAAGAAGTAGAAGTAATTTGATTGATTAAGAAAATATTTCAAATTTTCTTTTTCTTTTTTTTTTTTTTTTAAGATTTAGAATATCATTACATACTTGACAAGGAGTAGGAGTAATTTGATTGATCTTGTAATGTTGAAATTTTAAATTCTAGATTTAATTGTTTAATTGTCTCTATTTAATTTTAAAAATTAAACGTCTTACAATTTAAATCAATTTTTTTTTTAACTTATTAAATTTTTTCAAATCAAGAATAAGTGTGTAGAGATTTGAAGATCTCAACAACAAAAAAAGAAAAAAAAAAAAATGAGAATTGCGATAAATATACATGAATGGAAGAAGAATGAGAGATCGAATAACTGATCATAGTGGTGTCGCATTTGTCAACTGCAAAGGTTCCATACCACAACTTTTCAATAGCTGAAATAATTTTTGAGTGAATGCATCAAAGATAAATTTCAAAATTTTATTTTTTTTTTCTAAAAATCTTTACAAGAAAGGATGCAAATAATCGAATCAATATCAAAAAAAAAAAAAAGGAAAAGTCAAATCCATCAAGTTAATTATGCTTTTAGCAGTTCTCATTTATATTTTATGATTAATATGATCTTTGCTCTTCATCAAAATTAGCTATAAAAATTATTATCATTCACATTTATTATCGTTTTATTTGTTTTGACTATCATTCCTTTTGGTTTTACTACATTTTCTCATTTTTTTTCTGCATTTCAATTATTGTATAATTCTGGACAAAAAGTTATCTGTTGTATTAATTATTGTAAACAAGTCATGAATTTTCAATTAATTATCAAAAATAATCAGCCTCAAATTAACCTCAAAAACAAGCTCAAATTAACAAGAACTATTACTATAGTAGGTAGTATATTACTTTAACTTAATAATACATAGATAAATTAAAATTATAACAAACCTGCTCAAATTTACTATCCTCGTTGGATACTTGAGTATGTGGTAGTGATGAACCCATGGGTAATACTTGTTTTGAAACTGTATTGAGAACGGTTTGCATTGAACCGGCAATCAGGCAACCAATATTTTCATTTTTTTCTTCCTTTTCAACCAATAATAAATTTTTTACGGAGCCATGCAATCGTTCACTTTGTGAAATCTACCCAAAAAAAAAAAAAAAAGATAAAATTTTCAGTAAAAAAATTAGCAAAAGCTTGAGAAAATTTAAAATGAACTCAAAATATATGAAATCTAATTTACATAAACAAAATATTACTAAAATTTTTCTTTTTCTTTTCAACTTTAAAATTAAGAAATAAAATTAAATATTTAGTTTAAAAAATGCTTGCAATATTTAGCATACAATTCAGAGCAATACTACATTTTGCATTTGTTTAATTTGAATTGATCTGATCTATTTTTTATATTTCTATATTATCATAGAAATCTTTGTGATAAGATTTCATGAATAAATAAGGAAGAATAACTATTGTTTACCTGATATCGTCGACAGGAATCAATTAATTCTTGCACTTCATCATTTACCTCTAATTGTTTAACCTCACGTTGAGTACCATTAGTAGCACCAGTAGCTCCAAGACTACCACTAATTATAGAAAATGTTCGAGCAAATTTTGAAGTTATTTTGCTAGATTCAGTTTGTGTTGATGCATCTTGTGATGGACTTTGACTTATATAAACTGATGGCTTCCGTTTTCGACAGCTATGCCTGATCTGTGATCCAGCTTCACTCCTAAAACTGTTTTTTTTTTTCCGTTTTTTTTTAAAGTTCAAATCTATCAATAAATATTTTATAAATTCTTATAAATATAATTGATTATCAGCGATATTATAGAATTAATAGAAATATTTAGGTATCATTTTTATTTTATAAAATTGAAAATAATATTTACCTTGAAAGAGAATGCTGACTGGAACCAGATTTCCAATTATTTGTTTCTTTGCTAGTTCTTTCTGTTGTTTGTGAATTACCAAAATGGCAACGTATCAATTTAGTTGTTGTATAACTTGCTCGAACATTTTTTTCCGGATGTAATAAAATAATATAAAGTTTTGGAAAAAATAATAATACTAAGGCTATACTGGCTGATAGACTGAATGAAAAACTCATAGTGAGTGCTTTATTTGTTGTACCAAAATGAAGAACAATAAATGCTGACCAAACAACCAAAGTACAATACCTGAAAAAAAAAAAAAAACAAAAATTATTCTAAAATAATTATAAAAAAAATTTCTATGAATGATGAGAGAATACTAAGCAAACTGCACTAAATTTAATGCACGAGGCTAAAAAAAAAAAAAAAAAAAGAAAAACATAATAATTTTGTTGTACATATTTGTATTTGTTATTATCAACTTACTATGATGTAAACAAAATTTATTATAATGTAAACAAACAAGAAAAAAAATAATAAAAATTATGAAAATATTACGTTGATTTAATTTTCAGAAATAAAAAATTCTTTTTTTTTCATTTCAATCAATCAAGATCATAAAATCAAATCAAATCAATAATCTAATGAGCAAATAAACACTAATAATGATTGATAACATTATGAGTATATCATTTAATAATCTAAAATATAATTTATAAATTAACTTACATAGTAAAACCAATAAATTTTGCTTCATTAAAATTTTCCGGTAAATTTCTCGTTTTAACTGCATACAATGTACAAAGTGATATCAGGAAAAGATTCCAGAAAAATGGTGTCAAAAAGGCAAATGTTGTGGTTGAGCAGACGAGTACCATACGTTGAGGTTGATAATATGGATCAAAACCAGCTTGTGGCATTTCACCCATTACACCAGCAGCAACAATAACACATTCAATACAAATAACAATCCATGTTATTACCACCTGTAAAAATTTCTAAAATTATTAACTCAAAATTTTATCATTAATTGTAATATTTTTTTTTTCTTCAAACTTTAAATATTTAACATTTGAAGATAGAAAATTTAAAAAGTAAGAAATAAAAAACTAATAATGAAGATAAATGATGAAGAAGATAAAAGTAAATTCATTTATATCCTATCCTACAAACATTGAAAAAAAAAAAAAAAACTTAAATAACTTAAAATCATTACACTCCTTATTCTGATACAATTTGCAGTATTCAAAGCATTTGAAATCTTTATTTTATTTTATTTTTTTTTTTCTTTATTTATCTTCATTATTAGTTTTTTTATTCCTTTCTTTTTAAATTTTCTATCTTCAAATGTTAAATATTTAAAGTTTGATGAAAAAAAAAAAAAAAAAGGAAAAAAGAAAAATTGCTTACTTGTGATGCAGTACTGAGGAAACGCGGTTTTTTTGTTAAAATTCGTTTTTTGCTACCTGCTAAAATACGAGCAATACGATTTGTTTTTGTGAGAAGTGCTGAATAAATCATTGAAAAAGCAACAGGAGGTAGCGTACGTGATATAAAACACGTTATAAATGATGGCGTAGCAAGTACAGCAAATGATACTGCATAGCAAATAGTAATACCTAAAAATAAACAATGAGAAAAATGTATGAAAAAATAAATAGCAAATAGAATTTTAATTTATTAAAAGTGCTTTAATTCATTAATTGAAATTAATTTTTACGCTTAACTAGTAGATAACTAAATTGAAAGAAGAAAAAAAAAAAAAAGAGATTTCAGTAAAAGAATTTAAAGAGTAGTCTAAATAACCTAATGCTTATAATAACAATGAGTGATGAGGTTGTATCGAAAATATAGCAGGGTATAGTTAAGTTAGATTTGTTTATTCAAATTAAATAAATTACTTTTTTTTTTTTTAACTAAAATAAATTTTTACGCTATTTTTACGTTTATTAAATTACATAGAAAAAGTTAACAGAGGAATAATACTTTAAATTATCAAATACTTACCACTTAGAATTATGTAAGATAATTCTCTGGTTGTTGATTTCACGACAGGTGTATGATTGTAACGAATGAATATTAATACGGTGAATGATGTCATTATTATACCCAATGATGCAAGTAATAAAGCTAGGATGATACCTGTAGATGACCAATCTGGTCCTTCATGTACCAAAGGATAGCAGGCTGAAAATTTGTATATTATTTGACCAAAAAAAAAAAAAAAATGATTTAAATGAATGAGATAGATATCTTTCAAAATTTGAAAATAAAAAGTAATGAAAATTTAATGGCAAAAAGAGAAAGAGCTAAAAAAAAAAAGTACTTGTATGATCATCATTAGGCCACCATCCAAGTGTACAATTCTGACACGTACGTGTCGTATAGTCAATAATTTGATGAGATAAACAATCTTCACAAATCCAACAACAAGCAGCTGTTTCACGTTGCTATAAAATGATAAAAAAAATTATTAAATTGAAAAGCTTATTTTTATTGGCATTTTTTTTAATTGTATAAATAATTAATAAATTTTATAACTTAAGAATATATCAATCGATTATTGTTATTTTTATAAGATTGCAAAGATAGGAAGAAGAAAAAAGATTTGCTTTTATTGTTACATTGATTTTTCACAAAAATTTTATTTTATGAAAATTATATAATAAAATTTACTCGTTGTCCAATTTTACATGGTTTACTGCAAACTGATTCTGGAATTTGATTTGTTTTATCATAAAACATAATATCACTTTTTGTAATTTTTAAACGATATTTGCCAAGACGTTTTTTTCGATATTCACCAACCATACGAAAACCTTCCTCACCACCAACATAGTTTAAAACATCATACCTAAATTTAAATTCTAATTTACTTATCTTCTTTTTTTTGTTGAAAAAAAAAAAAATTATAATACTTTAAAAGTTTTACAAAAAATTTCCTTTCTATAGCATTTATCGATCAGATAATGAAATAAACTTATACCTAATTAAAAATATACCTCAGAAAACAAAAAAAATTTTCACAAAAAAATAAATTCATTTATAGTATGATAATCAAAAACTGACACATTCATATAAGTGATATAATTTTAAGATTATAAATTAAAATAATACAAATAAATGTACCATGCAGGTGGATCACCGTTTGTATCGAAATAAACTTCCTGATTGAACTGATCAACAAATGTAACATTGAGCATATATTTGAGAAGTAAAGTACCATTTAATGCAAATATTTCCGTACACATTGTTGAATTTTCTCTACAACGATCGTTGTACAATGCTTGAAGGGCTAATCCAACAACACGAATTGAATTTACAACTTGACTCAATTTTGCATCCTAAAAATTTTGGAACATTTTAGAGATTAGTGGAAAATTGGATTAAAAAAAATTTATTATCAGAATTATTGACTGAGAAAGAGAATGATAAAATGATTATTTATGAAAAGTATACAAAATTAATGTATAATTTTAATGTTTACTTGTTAATTATCAAATGCATTAGTATTAATAATTGATCTAATTTTGCTAACTTGATTATAGCTATACAATAAGTCAAATTTTTAAATCAAATTTTAGACTAAAAAGAAAACTATTAATTTTTGTTCCGTATTGTTTACCTGTTTGTAATTTATTGCAAGATTCTCTTGTCCAGTACAAACTTTTGTTTCAAAATCATCTTTAGGAACTGTAAATTGACAACTGAATTTCTCTTGCCAAAATTCTCGAAACCATGGATTATGTGTATTATTTTCTGGATTTAAGGAGAAATAATACTGATCAAACCATTTTACATGTGGTGAATGTATCCTAAAATGTAAAAATTTACATAAAATAGAAACGTATTTAAAATTAAATAAAAGAAGAAAAAGAAAAAACTTTCCGTAAATTTTTTTTTTTTTTTCATAATAATTATATCTTTTGTAAATGATACTTATTACCTAATGGAAAAACTTCCGGCAGCTTCAAGTTCTACGCCATTTACCACGTCTAATCTATCATTCCAACCATCACTACAAATCCATTGAAATGGTCGCATTTCCGGATTTCTTCTTCGGAGACGTTGTTGTGCTTTAAACATTCCACGCATTGTAAGACCTTCACAAAAACATACGACTACTTGTGGTACCGATTTTTGACTACTGTAAAATAGTACCATAAATTTTTATTATGATTTATAGCATTAAGAAAAATTCATGCATTTTTTTTTGATAATTTATAATCAAATCTTTTCGTTTATTTTTAACCTTAATGAATTTAAAATTTTGTCGAATTCAGCCGGTTCCGCTAAACTTTTTACTTTTTCCGAATATGCAATGCAAACATTTTCTGATAGATCATTATTAATCATTCGTTCCAATTCTTCAAATCCTTTTTCACCATAGTTTCCTATAATAAAAAAAATTTTGAACTTATTTTTTTCTCACTGCTTCTATAACTTAAACATAACTATAGGAATTAATAAAAATTTCAGGAAAAATTAGAATTTAATCTTTCAATATTTATTATTTAATATTTTTAATTCAACAAATATATTGGCAATTTAGTTCAGTCAACTGATTTAGCTATATTTACTACAGTTTCTACATTATACTGAAAATAAAACAATGCTTAGAAATAGATTAATTAATAATTAAATCCATTTTTCAGGCATAATGTACAAGAAATCAACCAGCGGAATAAACAACAGCTACGTAAGTCCAATTAAAGTGTTCCAACATTGCAACAACCAATTTAGCCTGCCACGTATCCGCTGGTACCACACGCATGAAATAACCATATTGCTCTTTATCAGAAAGATCAGCCGTTGTTGCACCATATCCTGAATATTCCGAAATGAAAAAAGTATCCATAAAATAAAATAGTGTAATTTTTTTCTTTTTTTTTTTTGTTCAGCAAAAAAAAAAAAATTCAAGTTTTAAAAATTTAAAAAGTTAGCTTAAGTAGAAAACTTTCATGCAAAAAAACAAACCAATTTGAGGTATATGGAATACTTGCAGCAAATTTTGTACCGCAATTGTGGTGGAACTTTTTGCTGGACCAACAACTGCTACAACCGGAGCGGTTTTTTTCTGGCAACCTGGTGTGGAAGTACACGAACACTGACCAACACCTTCACGTAGAAATGCAATAGATTGCTCCATGGCAATACGATCTGTCCAACAGGAATCCCTAAAAAAGATTAGAATTGCTTGGATAAATTTAGTAATTTTTAGTCTTGCTTGATCAAAAAAAAAAAAAAAAAAATTATATCGGTTCAATTATATTCAAAATGATATCCCATTTGAGTTTAATTTGAATTTACTAAAAGAAAATTGCACATGGATATTTTATTTTTGCATACGGATGAAACAAATATGTTTTTGAAGTCTCAAATAAACTTGGAATATTCTTTTTCACCATATTTCTCGCTCATATTCAAACAGATCACATTAACTGATGCTCATAAGTCAACAAAAAAAAAAACCAAATGTCCGACCCGAGAGAGCTTTTAGTTTATTTTGATAATAGTGAAGTAATCAATTTGATGACAATGAAATCTTTTTATTCATTTATAAATATGATTTAAACTAATTCGAGAATCATTAGTGTAATCATCAAATAGTTCGTGTTCTAGCATCAACCAGATTTATTAAAATATCATCAAGATGATACAAGAGAAAATAATTTTTTGCTTATGACAATTTTTTTTTTCCTGAATTTTCAATCGAAGATGAAACTTTTCTTTAAATTTGTCATAGTAACTTCCTAGACTTGTAGCAGTTACTCATTTCGATGTAATCATTTTACGTAATTGTCATTTACATTGAGATTAAAAAAAAAAAAGAAAAAGAAGTAGAAATAATTAAAATAGCTTTAATAAAAGATAATCAATCCATACAATGTTATCATCAATCTATTATCACCTAAACATTGATAACATAAATAACACATTGGGAAAACCAAAATAAATTTATAATATATCAAAATAGTTTTAATTTAATAAATCCATAAGACAAAAATTTATAGACAAAAGATTGTCTTATTTGAATATTCCTTAAAGAAATACAAAACAGTTTTAAATTTTCATTTCATTTCAAATAAGAAATAATTTATCCAACACTCATTTCAACTTTTCAGAATGATATAGTCTATTAATTAATATATTGTTAATTATTTCTAAATTTATTCTTATAATCTTTCACTCTGATAGCCAAAATGTTAAAGCATTCTAAGCAATGTCAAAATGTCGCAGAAGCCCTTTAATGTGACAGTCACTTTTACAAGCAACTGACGCAATGTTATAAACTAACTTCTATGTATAGGGTAAAGGTCATCCAAGAGTTACAACTCTTTACTAAATCAAATGCTATTACATTCTTTCCTCTAAGTCAATGTCCATTAGATAAAGAGTTAAATCTATTGTTTACAGTCAGTTTCTAACGACAGCAAACTTTAATTCATTTATCTCAGTGCTTCTTCTACCTTCGATCAATCTCTTTCAATAGCAGCTAAACTAAATTAAAATTTTCAGAACGATTAACTATTGTATATGATTATTTAATATTTCTTATAATGCCAGTCGATAAGTTTATTATTCATTTGTTTCATCAATAAACTATAACAAATTCATCATTAATCAAGAAAAAAATAGAATTTCAAGTAATATATTACTTGAAATTCTATTTTTCAATATATTATATAATATATTATTATAGCAATTACTTATTATTATTATTAACATATTATTATTGTTATTATATAGCCGAGCATTTCGATCATTTAATATTTAATCAGAATAATATTATTATTTACTTTAAATATCTTCCAGGGATATCAGTAGACCAATAGTATTTCATCAATTTGATCAATGAATTACTAATAGTTAATTATAATAAGCTAATATTTTGAAAGGTCGATGAGGCTAAGAAAATAATTCATTGCTTATAGAGAAGAGAATTGTTTAGTCTGAATTCTTTCAAAGAAGACAGAATTTTAAAGTATTACAAATTTTCATAATTTTTTAAAATTAAAAACAATATACTCTTTTAAATTTTAAAATCTTTCAATTGTTAATATAATTCATTGCTAATATTCATCATATTTATTAAATATTATATGTTGAAGCTAAGCAAAATTCGTTTGGAAAATTATTTAAATGTTAATTTAAATATGTTTAACTTACCTTATACTGATACCAAGCTTAAAAGGTAGCAAAGCATTTAGTTCAGCTACCGTACTAAGGGCTATTTCCATACGTTGGATACCGTACTGTTCCCAGATTCGACCACATGCTTCCGTACCTGTGATTTGATAATGCAACGGGAATAGCGCGCCAATCTATGAATTATAAATAAATTAAAAATTAAATTAAAATTATGTCATCAAATGAATATAATTTCTTGCTATTCTCTTTATTCACTCAACCATTCATTGATTCGACCACTTATTTTATACTATATTTGTTTATTTCACATATATTATTCCATTAACCGATCCATCCTTTTTTATTTACACTGTGAATAAGGAAGAATAAAGAAGAGATCGAATTTGTGGAGAAAAGTACATATCATAAAAATTTGTAAACAAAATTAGAATATTAATCTATTAAATGATGAAAGTAAACAAAAGTTTATGATATCAGAGATGAATTTAAAACAGTGAAGGAAGTTTGTTAACAGATATTTTTTACTACTAGAAAATATGCTTTAGTAATGGAATGGATTACCGGAAGATATATTAGAGTAAATGAATGGACTAGCGGAAGATATATTAGAGTAAATGAATGGACTAGCGGAAGATGTGATATATGAAATGAAAGGAATTATTTTACCTATTTATTAACTTCATCAGGTGTAAACTTCTAATTCCAACTTTTTTCTTCCTTCCATTTTTATTTTTAAAATTCAACTTGACAAATTCTTTTTAGATCCTTCTATTTTTATGAGTTTTAACGACTTTTTTCTTTAATCTCATTCAAGTTTCTTCTTTTTCAACTGAAATTTCAAAAATTAGATTTCCATGCCTACCCATCAAATCAATCTGTGTTTGTTATAAATGGCTCTTCTCAAGAAGGAAGTACTTCTCTTCTCATTCTGTGAGTGTCTTTCTATGCATTTATGTGCCTGTATGTGTGTATGTATGTGTATGTATGTATGTGTGTATGTATGTATGTGTGTATGTATGTATGTGTGTATGTATGTGTGTATGTATGTATGTGTGTGTATGTATGTGTGTATGTATGTATGTGTGTACATTCCGCGATGAAAACCAAATAAAATTAACCACTGGCACAAGGATGTGTTTTGTGTATTTTGTTGAAGGCGTGAATTAAATTTTGGACAGCTAGTCATTGTATTCATCATACATGCACACACACACACACACACACACACACACACACACACACACACACACACACACACACACACACACACACACACACACACACACACACACACACCACACACACACACACACACACACACACACACACACACCACACACACCACACACACACACACACACACACACACACACACACACACACACACACACACACACCACCCACACACACACACACACACACACACACACACACACACACACACACACACACACACACACACACACACACACACACACACACACACACACACACACACACACACACACACACACACACACACACACACACACACACACACACACACACACACACACACACACACACACACACACACACACACACACACACACACACACACACACACACACACACACACACACACACACACACACACACACACACACACACACACACACATACATACATACACACATACATATTTTGCTTCGTTATATCAATTTAATTCTAAACAAAGGCAATTTTCATGGAAAACAAAATAAACTATTTAAATATAAAAAGTTAAAACGTATTATTTGTTTATTACATCAAATTATTCTATCCTAATGTGACCTTTTATTTACAATTTTTAGAAAAGGTTACATTTTTTTTGGGATCTTATAATGATGAATGAAGTCTTTGTGTAAAATCCAAAAATGAGAATTTTTTTTTTTTTTGTCATAAACATAAACAGATGATGACAGGTAATGACAGGTAAACAAGCAATAATATACTTAACCAATTCGGATTAGACTATATAAAAATTCACCGCTAGGATTTAAGTACTAAATTATAATTTACAAATTAATAGTGTTATCTTCCTGCTACTAACATTCAGCTTTCAAATATACCCGTTTTGAATGTTCAAGATATTTAAAAAAAAAAATTTCGAGATTCAAGATATGAGTTTTGGTATGTGACAACTTCGAGATTTATCGAGAATTTACGATTTAGCATTCTATTAATCAATAATTAATCACTCACAGATAAAGTAAAGATTTTTAAGTAAAAAAAAGATAGATCAAAGAATCTTTTCGAAGCATCTTTCATCTTTTATCTTCATTATTTAATTTTATAATTTAGTTAATTATTAATTTTTTTTTTTTAATTTCAATCCCACTCTTCATATTTTTTTTTTACTGCTTATCACTTTTTTTTCATTGATTCTTTATTCCACACCGTCTACAGTTATCAATATTATCAGTACACTTGTTATCATCACTTGCATATCACTTATTTTTGCTTACATTAAATGAAGAAGGAATAATCGAAATTAATATGACAATGCTTACTTCAAGAAAACGAAACTATGACTAAATGTAGAAACTTAATATAGTAATCAATATTGGTAAAGTTTTTAATCAGACATTTCATCTAAAATACACCATCAAATTAAGTTTTAACTAAATGTCTGTTTTACTTTTCACAGTTAAAAAGAAATTGTGTCTTAAACGAATTCTTAATTTGAAAAAAAAAAAAATAATAATTTCTAATATTTCGAGATTGACTTAAAATTTGGAAAATTTGGAATCGTTGAAAAACAAAAAAAAAAAAAAAAAATGAGAAGTCACAAAAATATGAAATGAAAATTTTATAATTTTCAATTTGTTACAAATTATTTTCTAATTTGAAGATTAAAAAAGTAATGAATTTATACGATGCTATCTCATCTCACTCCATTATTCTACCTTTTTTTTTTTTTCCATTCATCATTTAGCCTTAGGCTTTACTTTAAGTATATGTATGCACCTGTTGCAA